AAAAGGACGGATTGTCATTTCGCCGGAAACAAGAAAACTTTTTAACAAGAAAAACGCTTACGATTAGAACTCCAAGCTTTTTTCTACTATAGGTATAAAAATACTGAAAAAGAAGAATAATTTAAACATTGAAAAAATAACAAATTACATTTAACATAAGAAAACACAATCAGATACTAACTATTAGTTCAATTTGTTCGTCTTTTTGGACTTCACTTGTAATCGTTTTAATCTTGCGTTATAAAACGGTAACCTTCTTCAGCAATTTCAAAAAGTTGGTTAAATAACTATTTCTGTTAAACCATTGACTGGAAAATAAATGTGTTATTATTATTATTATGTATTTCTCCATAATAATGTACTCGATCCGGCGAAATGAGAATCCGTCCTTTCGCGAATCCGACGAAGTGCGAACATACCTAGTATGACTGTAAGGTCTGTTGACTCAACCGGAACGCAAGTCATCATAACCACAACATAACATTTTCTAGAAGCCAGACGCTGAATCGACAGACGGAAACTGATAAGCTCATCTCGGGCTACCAACAACATGTTGTCTTAGCTTTTGTAAGTTAGTTCATACGTTCATAGTTAGTCTTAAGCTGGTAGTTGGAACTAATAAACGTCTCCTTTAAAAATAAATTGTATTTTTAAAAGATCCTTCGGCTCGCCCACGTCTTGACTAGGTATCATTCACTCGTTATCGATTATTACATTAACACTCGAGCCAATTAAAAACCGATAAATATCTTCCATAAATTCAATGAAAGGGCAAAAACGAAATGACCATTCGCTTTTTTTAACATCCCATTGAGGAGGATCTTTTTCGCAACAAAAAAAGCCGTCCAACTTGTGGGAAGTATCTTGAAACCGATTTCTCAGTTACCGCACCCGATACCCCATTGTTGTATGGCACCTTGACAGGGGGCTTTTGTTAGGAAGCCCCGTGAAAGAAAAGATTACGGGTTGCTTTGTAAAAGTTTTACACTATTATTAAAATCAGTAGTGATTTTGTGGGAGTCACTTATGAAGTGGCTGACGGCTCATAATGTCTTTTAATTAAGTATTAAATACAGTCGTTTGAATAAATAAAAAAATATTTCCAACACTCACACCAATTAGCCTAGCTCCAAAGTAAGCACTGTGAGGCTTGTGTTATGGGATACTAGGGTAACGGATAGAATACATACATTGCACATGTATAAGTATATTTATATAGGAATACATATTAAACATGCATGACTGGAGTACAAATGCTCGCATTCATCACACAAACATCTGCCCCCACTGGGGATTCGAACCCGGGACCTCTCGAGTCTGCGACACCATGAAACCCGGCGTTTATACCATTCGGCCACGGAGGTCGTCAAATATGGTTCGCGTCTTTAATTAGTACCTAAAACGTACGATACTTAGGTAATGTGGTTTATATATCAGAACATCAAACAATTGTAATCACTACTGTAAAGAGTAGTGCGAAGGTATGAATTTCATGTAAGCCACTGATTAGTGTCGTTGTAACGAAGATATAGTATAATTCAAATTTATATGTTGTAGTGTAAATAGGATGGCATTACAATAATTATAAATTGGCGCACGCTTGTTCTATAACTTCATTCCAGATAACATTAAAAAAAAAGCTGAAAGAAACTGGGTTTCAAAACCAAGAAGCGAAGAGCACACAAGACTGACTGGCGGCGCGTGAAATCGACTTCATCCGCCACGAAGACTGCCCTCCTCCAGTCCAGATTTGAGTCCGTTAGATTACTAGATATGGCAACACTTGGAGGAAAAGGCGTACTCAAAGCCTCATTCCAATTTGGATTCACTCAAGACGTCCTTGATTAAGACAGCGGTCGATATTGACATGGACCTCGTTCGTGCTGCGATAGTCTGGCCGCGCAGATTAGAGGCCTGTATTCAAAATCACTGAGGTCATTATGAATAAACTTTATTGTCATAAGAATCTATATATATTCATTTTGGTATACCTATAAATGGTTACATAATGAATAAACTTGTTTCAATTATTTTATATTTAACATATTGAGATAGAATTTATGACCCGACTAGGTATAATAATATTTGCATCACAAAAAAAAGAGAATGAAATGGCTGTCAGCCGCGGCTTACGGACGAGTCCGATTGAATATTTACCAGCTTTAGTATTAAAGTTTGATGGTTTGAGTTTGGAATCATGTTTTTGCGGTCTTTGTTTCTATTATCATTTCTAATTCGTTGGTTTAGGGTGTATAATCGATTGAGAAAATTTTACACATTGATGTACTTGAAGTGTGGCCGAATCTCGCTCTCATGACTTCAACCAAGACCTTAATGCTTGCTACTTTTGATAGATGAAAGTTACTAAATGTGATAAGAAAAATATTTCTTTTTACGATTTCCAATAGCAACTGATAATGAACAGTGTTAGGCTAGCACTTGACATAGCTATACTATGAGTATTTGCCATTTGTTTTGTTTTAATATGATAGAAGATATAATCCCATGCAATATAGGGAATTAAAAGGAGAGGCGATTTTACACACAGCAAATACCGGAAGTCGCAAATGTAACCCTTTTATATTTTTTTATTAAAAGACGGTACTATTTGGATTGGGTTGTGAGTAAGCGTTCGCAAGCTAAATAAGTTCATACATAATGTTAAGAAAACGCGGCACTAAGATTTTCCCCCCGCTTTTAGATTTGGAATCCGATCATATATGATTCAGAGGCCCTAGCACGAATTTAGACAGCTCCGTGATCGTGTCGCATCGTTAAAATTTCTATGAAAACTAAGCAGCGCCCTACTACTACTAGTGCGACAAGGATTTTTATGACCGTGGCGAAAATTGGAACTAACGCCGCCGTCTCTGTAAACGTCATATTTTGTATGTCATATACCATATGCGCTAGCATCACTATATAGATTGTGTATACCATGGAGGTTAGAGATAAGGAGAACGATCGCTACGTACTAAAGCATTAGCCCGCCTGACCCTGAAAAGTATAATTTATAGTTCATTTTTCAGCCACCAGCCACGCTGCCATTGGTAAATAGTATCTGTGAAGTTAGTTGTTTGTTGAATATTGTACGAATTTTCTTCGCGGCATTGGTCATTTCAAATTACACCGCTTTTATTGAGACAACTTAGCGATCGCAGCGCCTCACTTATTTTGTCGATATTTCTGGGACACTATTTTTTATAGCGATCGTTCTCCTTCTCTCTAACCTCCATGGCCATATACGTTGACAGTGGCGACTCCCTAAACTTCATTCACATTCATAAAAATCTCTTGCTCATTCCATACAAAAGTTGACGATGACGATACAATTACGGAGCGGTTAAAATTCGTGCTTGGTCCTCAGATTCCCAACCAAACAAACTAAATTCGCAACTAATGGTAATATGTACCATAGGTACTATCGCGGAATTTTGCGCTCTGTCACTTGGCGAACAAAATGCTTTGAACGGTTTTCTACAGTAGTTTTTACTACGCCCCGCCTTCGCGTCGGACGCGCCAATTGCATTTCATTGATTGAATAATGAATTGAATTGCATTTGTTTTAGTTGCAATTTGTCATCCGCATCGTGATCGCGACAGCGCTATCCGAAAAAGTAAGACAGCGATAATAGTCCAGGCAACGAATGCTCAAAATAAAAGGTATAGAGGGAAATGCTTGGAACACAATTTTTGACTTCGTAACTTTGTTAGGACTAGTTAGGAGGTAAACATATCAAAAGTCCCTGCCCGTAGCCCATAAGCCGGGGGGAAGGGAGGGGATTAAAGGTCCCATTTTTAGGTTTTTCGCATATATCTCGGAAACTATGCATCCTAGCGACAGCGACGAGACTTTGACAAAAGTGAAAGCTGATTAAATTTGCTACAAGTCTTATTCAGTCAAGTTTTTTGATATCTTGTATAGTTTTCGAGATATCCGCTCTTAAAAGTCTGTAATTATGGAAAAAAAAATTGTCACCACTTCTTGGGAATGCTGTTTTACTGCTCCCTCGGTGGGAGGAAGACAAGAGATATCAGGCTTGATGGTGGCCACTGATATCAAGAATGACTTGTACCTGTAGGCATTGAGTTAAATCTCTTTCGCTGGAGCTCCATACCTTCGTAAGATGCAGGTTTCAACTGCCTTTTGTACTTGAGCGGTGGTGGAGAAAGGGTGTGAAAAGACCGCTGCTGCTTTCTGGAGACTTGATAATGTCTCTGGTCTCTGGGAAGGGAGGAAATTTCTCAAACCAATCGGTGAGCTTGGCAATGTCAGCTCCATCCTTGTTTTGGCGGGCTTGTCCGAAATCTGCATCCTGCTCACTGGTGGAACCAACAACCCTACGGCCGGCATTGTTGAAGAGTTATCCGGTCAAATAGGGCAAAAATGTGAAGCAAATTTGTTTTTCCATAATTACAGACTTTTAAGAGCGGATATCTCGAAAACTATACAAGATATCAAAAAACTTGACTGAATAAGACTTGTAGCAAATTTAATCAGCTTTCACTTTTGTCAAAGTCTCATGTCGCTAGGATGCATAGTTTCCGAGATATATGCGAAAAACCTAAAAATGGGACCTTCAATCCCCCCCCCCCCCCTTCCCCCCGGCTTAAAGGCTACGGGCGGGGACTTCTGATATGTTTACCTCCTAACTAGTCCTAATAAAGTTACGAAGTCAAAAATTGTGTTCTAAGCATTTCCCTCTATACCTTTTCGTTGCCTGGACTATAATTACATGCCTATGAATGAATTTTTACTACGCCGCTACCGCAAGCGATTATGGCATTATGGGTGACAGAGCGGGTCTTTCCGGGAGTGTACATTGATGCCCATTTAGTATGGTCAAGGACCAATAATATTCAATGGTTTGGTAAATAAAGATACTCTGCCTTGCAATTCCACTGATGTGCGCTAGCCAGAATAATTCTCGTTACTATAGTTTAATAAATAAAGTAACAGAAAACAGTTGTGTATTATAAAAATATAAAAGAAAGAAAACTTCAATTTAAGAAAATTTATTGTTCATTCATTTAAAATATATAGAAACAAGAGATAACATAGGTAATTAAAACCGCTAATGACTAATTTAATTTACAAATGCAGTGTTCCTATTGCCTATATTAATGTCGGCACTTCACGTGGCTATTTGTCATTTTGACAGCAGGTTGTCCTTATCATACTTAGGAGTGGAAAGGTCTGTTGTCAAGATCACAAATAGCAAATACGAATAGCCATGTGAAGTGCCGGCATACAATATATATCTTAAGTCATATCCATATTGAATGCGCATCTCTGGTGAGTTAAGAAAATGAGATTCATCAGACAAGATAGCAAACTAATATAACAATAATAATCTACGAATAATTTGTGCTGATTTTTTTAAATAACAAACTAATTGGGTTTGTCCCTCTCAGGTTCGAGGGGTCGAGGCTCCAGACGGGGGGGAGATGCCATCAGACTGGAATACCTCTAGAGGCACTCGCCAATTCTCGGCTAGAGGTCCCCTTAGGATCCCCGTCCCCAAAGCCGGCGACGACGCTGTAAAGGTCATCTGCATACACACGCACATAAAAAAATGGGTCCGAATTTTAATTTGAAATCGATTATACGTGCATTGCAGATTAATGTTGCAAATCAATATAACCAAAAACACAAACAGTAATTATTATGCCGGCACTTGACTTGGCTATTCGTGTTTGCTATTTGTAAACTTGACAACAGACTGTACTTTTCATTCTATAAAAGCATGATAAGGACAGACTGTTTTCAATATAATTCAATAAATAGCAAACACGAATAGCCAAGTGAAGTGCCGGCATAATAATTACAGTTATGTGTAAACTCGTCTTAACATGTCCCATTTTAATCACTAGTAGGTTTTATGTAAACTGTACCCCTAGCACGAACCAATATCGAATTCGTATCATTTGCGAGTCTGAAATGTCAGTGTCAAAGTGTACTGATTTTTAGTTCCCGTTACGTACTTTGTGGCGCTGCTGTTCAAGTTTCCATACAAAATTTGACATTGACATTTCGGTTTGCAAACTATTCGAATTCGATAATGGTTCGTGCTAGGGGTATTTGTCCTTAACATGTCCCAGTTTTTATCACTAACCGTAGCTCCAACCAAACTAACTTATAGTACGTTGCATCTTTATGAAAGTGGCGAAAATTGGAACTAACGCAGGTTACTTTGTAAACGTCATAATTTTGTATTTCGTTTACGCAGACAGTAGCGCCTTCCCTGAACTGTCACTCATGTTCATAAAGATCCTTTTCTCAATAAAGTTTTTGGATTGAAAAAGAAAATAAAAACAAAATGTTGGGACGAGTTTCCATCAAGTATCTCTATATTAATCTAATCAGACAACTTAAATACAATCAAATTTGAATAAACTGAACAGCTTTATATATTTATAACCTACAAAAATATAACCTAACAAGTAAATGCGTTTCTAAATGTCATGTTAGTCACTAACCTACAAATCGTCGAGAACATATTATATGGGTATCTTTCTACTTCATTTTTGCGTTAAATATGAAATTTTATGGTGTTTTATTGCATTTGCAGCATAAAAACACTACTAAATGAAATTATTACTGAACAGCGATTAATAATAATAACAAAATAGTTTTGTCAGTTTTCGCAATCACCTTTTGTCCATAATATTTGACAGCGGAATGTACTGTTACTGGCGGAGCTGCTATATATTTTCAAATACCACTGAATGTTGTACTTCATATCCAGAGTATGGTGTTTAAAAAATATGCTGTTCAATACTAAATAATTATAAAAAATACCACTAATTTCACTATTGAAACTCAATTCAGTAAAACTTACAATCAAGTGAATAATATTATCGTAGTACGTTTATTTTTTCACTTGATTTTTCTCCACAAATGCCATAAAATTTTATATTTACGCGAAAACGCGGCGACATTTTTTTCATATAATTTTGTCCATTCTCCCCAGATCTCTCTCAAATTTTTTCTAATTACTAGATTTTTTGAAAATTTTATATTCAATTAGTCTAAATTATACAATAAAAATATTTTTGGTCAAGCTTTTTCTATGCCAAGTTCTATAAAACTTAACTATTATATTACAAATAAACTTTTGAAAACTGTTGCGTACGTCAGAAATGTGTCTTATCGAATCTACATTGCTACTATCTAGGATTTATTACACTTAATTTACTGGCACTATACTATCACAGAATGGTTTTAACTGTTGCTTACATACCATGCATATAATGCAGCACATTAGAATTATGAATCGCATTCTCATTAGAAGAGAAGAGAGTCTGACATATTTCAATACAAAATTAAGTTCCTATCTATTATGTAAGTTATGTCAATCTGTTTTCATAGTTATATAAAAAATAAAAAACAAGTTAGGAAGAACAACGAATTCAAAAACATCAAATAGCTGTCTCAAAGGACACCTAACCACCTTGCCCTATAGCATATTCAGGCTTGAAACTACGTTGTTACGCTAATTATGCATGCAACTTTATAATTAAATACCCAATTATGTAAAAAAGTAATATAAAAATAATAAAGAAAAGATGTATAAAAGATACATTTGAAAATAATTAATTTTAATTCAAATTAAGAAATTAAATTTTAAGATTCGAATTTATAATTGTTAATTTTCCAATTGGGAAATAATAACAATATTCTGTGATAATTATTTTACGAAGTTACAAGTTAGCTGCCGGCAGTTTACAGGGTTCACAAATTGCGATTACTAAAATGGAACAGCTGAAATAACGCATGTATCCACTTTATTGGTATTTACTAAACTGGGATATACGTATATTTAAATTGTTATGTCTCATTCTATTGTGTGCCTTAAATTCTATGTCATAGGTCATATTTTTCAAAATTCTGGCTGAATAGCAGCACTGCCAGTCTATTGGTTAAAAGCTTCACATTCACTTATATAACATATACACTTAAGTTCGTTGTGATTAGGATAAGCTGGGCTTTTTAGATTAATTGGAAGGATGCCTGACAAAAGCTGGCAAGAGAGCCTTATCAACATAGATCTTCAACAAGATTGCATTTGGAGTTTTGACAACACATTTATTTGGTAGGTCCATCATATTTGGGACAACCTCTCAGTATTTGTTTTTCGTTAAAATGTTTAGACACTGCATGTCATTGTTTAGGCACTAAACATGCCTTATATAGAAAAATCGGCTACATATGCCATCCTGAGCACTGCTCAACTGTAAGTAGAACTCGGATATAGTCTACACATGCATCCAGCGCAGCTTTTCGGACTTGCTTGATCTCAAAACCGACGACATCAAACCAACAACAATTGATCAGTCTCATATATAATCAACTCTCTTTATTTGTAAAGACATTGACATCACCCTTCCATCTTCTGGATGGTGAATCCGCCATGTTCTGGGCAATCCTACATTTACAATATCTGTTTACATAAGCACGTCGGCTAAATAATCGATTATGAGTAATAGATCGTATGTTGCGCATGAATCCGCCATCTTCTGGGAAATCTTACAATAACTATGTGTCTTTACATAGGCACGTCGGCTAAATAATAGATAGTAATAGATCGTATCTTGCGTCTAAATCCGCCATCTTCTGGGCAATCTTATAATAACTATTTTTCTTTACATAGGCACGTCGGCTAAATAATCGATTATGAGTAATAGATCGTATGTTGCGCATTAATTCGCCATCTTCTGGGCAATCTTATAATAACTATTTTTCTTTACATAGGCACGTCGGCTAAATAATCGATTATGAGTAATAGATCGTATGTTGCGCATGAATTCGCCATCTTCTGGGCAATCTTACATTAACTATTTTTATTTACATAGGCACGTCGGCTAGATAATCGATTCTGAGTAGTAGATCGAGTATATCTTGCGCATGAAGCCATTTCCATGGCACGTGGTGTCGGCAACGTTCGTTAGATCTTCGGGAAACTCCGTACAGCGCGGATATTGCGCACAGGAAGCAAACCACCGCGAAAACTTGGAATAGACACTTGAGCCCCTCCCTGCAATCACATACTGTGGGTAAACAACAAGGGAAAGTTTAGGAAACGGTAAAAACAAAACCACCATATATTAATAAACTAGCGGCCGCCCGCGACTTTGTCCGCGTTAACATATAGATTTTTTTTCTAAAATAAAAGTAGCCTTAGTTACTTTATTACATTAGCTATCTGACAATAAAAGACCTGTCGAAATCGGTCCAGCCATTTCAGAGATTAGCCGCAACAAACAGACAGACAAAAATTGTAAAAAAAAATTTTGGTGTATGTACCGTATATATTCATATGCGTGTAGTAAAATGTGGTTATTTCAATATTACAAACAGACACTCCAATTTTATTAAAAAAAGCAAAATATTCATATGTCTACATCAGCTGATTTAGTAACGCAATAAAATTGACGCAGCATTCTCCATTTTGTTTCATAAAATAACCAAACTCGACTGTGTGTCATTAACGAGATCTGTTGTCATATCATCAAAAGTACTCATCAGTACTTCACCTTTACATAAAACCAACTCAAAAGAACACACGTTTCAAATAAGAAAAAAAAACTGCCCTTTATTCATAAATCAATTTCAACGTCACACTTAACAAAAAATAATAATGATATCGTAAAAAATTACCAAAAATATCGGCGGAGCCCACGATGTGGAGCGATGGCATTTCGCTTCGTGCAGTCCGCACATGGGATCTCCACTTGTGTCGATACAGAAGTTACATCTGAAATCAGGCAAGCCAAGTAGTTTAATATTCTTTAAAATACAACTTATTATATGCCGACACTTCACTTGGCTATTCGCATTTGCTATTTGTAAACTTAACTTGTCCTTATCATGCTTTATAAGGAATGAAGAGGACAGACAGATGTCAAGTTTACAAAAAGCAAACACGAATAGTCAACTGCTGTACCGGCAATAAATTACTACCCTATTTATTTACTAGACAGTTCAACAAATATAGTAATGAATAAAATTCTACTTCTACATAATTATAAAATACTTTTTTTAGATAAAAAATTATATGACAAAATTTATTATGACTACTACTCCTAATTTACTTAATACGCATATATCTTTAACCAATACAAGTATAAGTTATTGTACATCCACATTATGGCCTTCACCAACATGAAACACTCAAAACAATCACACATTAATTGCTTCAATTGGACAACACAAATAAATGTAACAAACAGTAAATAAATAAACCTATCCATATTTGAGTCTTCAACTTTTTTTCTTTTGAATTGCCAAAATTTATACCATGTAAACTACTTATTTAATGAAACAGATTATAACGCCGATTTCTTCCAATTCAATTCAATGCGTTATTGGAAATGTTTCCGGTATGTATCGAGCCTTGTTACTACAGACTGATAACCCGTAAAATAACCCGTCTCATTGAGTTTCATTAAATAAATATCACCTCTAGGAATGCAAATTTTACATGGATGACATTTTATCCGTTCCAATCAATGGGAAAACTTTTTCAACAAATACTGAATATAAATAACGCTAATGATAATTAGAATGTCCCAAAAATTTTACGTCAAAGATTTAACTGTTAAAGATATTGGCTCCAGATCAATAAACTAAAATACTTCTACTAGAGGTCTAAAAGTCGAAGAGCTGTTTTTGTTTTAGAGTTTTAAAAGCCGAGCAAGAGAAACTGTGATTTATTTCATAAAATTGATCCATTACAAACTTTTAACGCAAGGCCAATCCTATTGTTAGAGCGAGACAACTCTGTGCGTACCGTTTAGCAGATTTAACAATTTGTCTTTGCCTCGGGTAAGGAATTCATAAAAAGGCTTCTGGAGATAGTAAGACCTACTGTTAGCTCCTAACGTACCATTTCTGGGACAACCTGTACCGTAGATTTTTAATGGTTATGTATATCTACACAAAATACGATATCTACTCAAATATAGATGACATTGCAAAGCAAATTACCACTCTCAGTCTGGCACTGCACAAAGCGTACTTCACAATTCAAGCTGTCAATAAGGTCTCTTTGGTTAGCACAAGATGCCTCCAACAAAACAATCTTAGACTGCAAACTATCCACAGCGTTTTGTAACAAGCTATTCCTGTCTGTACCGTCTTGAACTAATTTCTGAAGAATGACCAAGTTGTTTTCATATATCGCAAGATCCGATTCTGCCTCTTTGACAATCCGCTGTGATATTTTAACATCATTTTCTAGTTTTTCTATATACTTTTTTAAGTTTTCGCATTCGTTACATTTAGAACAGTCCAGACATGTCTTGATAACGTTATTATTATTATGAAAATCATCAGTTTGTGTTTCAATGTGACTGCGACACACATTTTCAATATTGCTCTGTGTTGCCTTTGTAAATACAATTTTAATTGGTATGGATTTGTTTTTGTCTTGGTCATCAGTTTGTGTTGCAATAGAATAATTTTCAATGTCATTATATTCAGCGCCGGTCTGCGTTCCAGTAGTGATTACGGACTTGTTTATGCTTTCCCTATTTTCACTGGTGAAAGGCTCCGTTTCGTTTGAGTCGTCGCCTTGCGTTTCGACAAAGTTGAAGGGTCTGTCTAAGTATTGAAATCTGTCTTGTTTCGGTGTGTTATCTGTCATGTTGTGTCTGGAAATGTTTGCGCTGAAACTGAGGCGTATCTCGTCGAATAGAGACATGTTGGTAGCGCGACCTTGGTCTTCTTTTAACGCGTTTAAGAAAGATTCTTCATCTAACAGGTGGTTGTCTAAAGAATAAATGCATGTTTTATGTTGTGGAACCAAAATCAGAGTATACAAATGGCCGATACATACAAATAACCTGAAACCTTTATATGAAGAGACATTAAAAAAGATGGTTAATGTATTTACAAACTACTCTTCATTTAACAGGTTGTTATTTAAAGAAAAATAAAAATACGTTTCAGGTGAATGTAGAACCAGTTGACATATCAAATGACTAAAGTAGAACTTTTTATTAGCTGCAGTAAAATGACGTTTTGTGGGTTACCGCTTTTTGAAGAAAAATAAATAGGGATGTAGCTAAGCGAGTAAGTGAATCATTCAATAAATGAGTGATCAGTTTGGTTTTATTTTAGAGATTTAATATTAAGTTGTAATGTTTTTTTTATTCGATTATTATTACTTTAGTAAAGGATTGATCTTTTTCAGTGGAAGTATAAGGACGTACATCCAAAATTAAACAAAATTGACATAACAATGTTATTTATTAATCAATCATTTTCGGAATCACTATCGCTTCCGGTCACACTAAGGACAAATCTGTCTGTCACTTCATCTATAATATCCTCGAGGTGGCACATTTTGTCTTCCTCTTTTATAGTGTGAGACACACAGTCACTCCATTTAGTCTGTGTCACTTTGTTGATTCCTTCTTGGAATAAAGTTTTTACTTCTTGCATTTTATGTGTTTTATTTTATTATATATATATTTTTTTTTAAGGTACATTGTTACTAAGATTTTATGGACTTAAATTGTCTGAGAATAAATTATTATTATTATTATTATTGTTTGCGACGTGCCCCTTTACCTAACTTACTTTACTTACTTAACTTAGCCCAAACCAACTCGATGGGGTTCAATTCACAGTGATAATGGGGCAGTCTTAAAAGTCTGATACCTTTTTCAGCAATCTCGTCCACGGCATATTTCTCAGTATGATTTTTTGTTTCACAATATATATGAGAGTAGCCTTCACCATATATGGTTCAAATGTAATATTTTTAGTGGTCAGCCACTCTTGAATTCGTGCTTTCGTCCACGACATCTTTGGGAATGTTTCGATCTTCCTAGAATGATAGGGCGCGTTGTCCATTACGACTACAGCATTCGGCTTGAGTTTGGGTAGAATGCCGTCGAACCACTCCTCGAAACACTCTGCGTTCATTTCATCATGGTAATCTTCTGTACCTTTCTTTGCTTCAAACATAAGAAGTCCCAAAGATTAAGATAAGATAATCATAAGATTTTATACAGCCTTTTATTTATATGAATAATAAATAGAATTAAGTATGATCATTATGAGTTACTTATGGAACGATTAGATTTTCTGTGAACCTAAGCACATCCCTATTGAAATTAGGCGGTCAACATTATTTTACGGAATGACATTTTGAAACGTCATTTTACTGCAGCTAATAAAAAGTCGAAGTATAATATAAAACCATTTGAAACTATATGATTTAGTCTAAAATATCCATGTAAATTGTAAGAAGGGCGTTTATTATTTAAAAGCACAGTTTGTCGTATATTTTCAGCGTATTCAATCATTCTTTACAATGTATTCACAGTAATGAGTTTGTCCAAAGTAGTAAGCATCTGGTCTTCGGTGTAGCTCACGTCGTTGGAACAATCTAGACGCAGTATTGAATCGTAGAACTTAACGCTTTCTTATAGAGTATATTGTACCTTGCACGATGCGGCTACCAGCGTTGAGGCTGTCCAAAGCAGTGCGAGATGTTTACTCCATATTTAAACATTCTTAGACCACATAGTAAGAATTAATAGGGTATTTTCCAAAATTTTGCAAACTGCTTATATTTAAAGATTGGGACAAACCATTTAATTAGATAATGTTTTTTTTCTTCATTAGACCAATGTAAGTTGAACTTATTTTTAATGGTTTTGAATTTACCACCAAAACGCTTGGTTCGATTGACGTCAACTTTGTGTAAGCAACAAATAAAATCGAGTTAGTCGGCTTTCAGATACCCGGCTTCCATTGTGGAAAATAAGTAAAATCAAAATACTCGTCAAATAATTACTCCGTAATCACAGATCGTCTAAAGACTATATAAGTGTTAAAATTCTTTACACAAAGCTGAAGTCACACAGTAGACGTAATTAAACCGAGCGTCTTGCCGGTAAATTAAAAACCATTAAAATAAATTAATTGGTGTAATGGAGAAAAAAAGACATTAATTATTTTTGCTATTCTGTTAAATCGTTTGTCCCAATTTTTAAATATAAGCAGTTTTCACAAAATTGGAAAAAACCCTTTTTCAAACATTGCTGCCTCTATTGCATTATAGACCTTAAAATTTGTTTATTAGAGTATGTTGTACCTTGCGAGAAGCGGCTGTCAACGTTGAGGCTGTCCAAAGCAGTAAGCATCTGGTCTTCGGTGTAGCTCACGTCGATGGATCGATCTAAACGCAAGTGAGTCTGATTGGACTTGTTCAACATGTCCTTTAGTTCCATTTCCAAGAGAACCTGTAGAAAAGAAAATATTATCTTTACTTAATATTATAAAGAGGAAAGATTTGATTGTTTGTTTGTAATGAATAGGCTCCGAAACTACTGGACCGATTTGATAAATTCTTTCACATTTAGAATCCCACATTATCCCTGATGAACATAGGCCATCCGTTTTCCTGACATTTTCCAAAATATTTTATAATATTTTGGAAAATGTCAGGAAAACGGATCTTCTTAAACTTCGATAATATAATCCAATATGTGAAAATAATACCAAAAAGCTTTTTTTTATATAGATAGATCCGATAAATATCTCCGACCCACCTGATGTTAAGTGATGGTGAAATCCAGACGTGAAGATAGCTGGTACAGCAGTTCTACCTGCCAAACCCGCCATCCTCACCCTGCTGGCCTGCATGTTGCTTCTTCACGCCTCTTTTAAAGGATCGCAGGTTGTAAGAAGGAGGGAACACGTGAGCGGGCAGAGCATTCCATTTACGGATAGTACGACAAAGAAATGAGTCACCAAATTTCTTTGTACGTGTTGGAATTGTGGCTACAGTTAGACGGTGACAACGTAGGCCAGCGCGCGTGGTCCTCTGAAGAAAAGAGGAAGTTGGAATAAGAGAGAATAACTCCTCAGAATACTCGCCGTGGTCCGGACGATAGAACGCGCTTAGTGACGCCACGTCACGGCGTAATTGAAGAGGCTCGAGGTGTTTAGTCACCTCCTCATTGCCTATGATTGGGATCGCGCGCCGCTGTAACCTTTCCAAAGCATCGAACAGGAGCCATCCCAGAGGTGCGAGCAATATTCCACGCAAGACCGCACCTGCGTCTTATAAAAGAAGCACGGTTGCTTGGGCGTGAAAAAACGCCGCACCGTGTTCAGGACTCCAGTTTGCGTGAGGCTGTTTTTATCACACTTTCGATGTAATTCTTTGGATTTAAGTCACAGCGAATTTCCATAGCGAGCATGGTGATACTACTCTCTAGCTCCAGTGTTGTGTCCTGAAGAAAAGGACATAAAAGGAATGGCGACGTTTTTGCCGTGAAAGCGCAAACCTGGATTTTCTTGGCATTGAACTCAACCAAATTCCCCATTCAGAAATGTGGTCCAAAGCCTGATTAAGTTCAATGACAAGATTCTCCCGTTTCTCCTTGGTTACCGACTTTCCTTGGCTTGTTCGAGATAACCCGCATGCACTGTACTATCGTCTGCATAGCAATGAATATTCCCAAGAGGAATTAAGTCATTGATATGCAGCAGAAAGAGTTTTTCACGGGTTCACGGGGTTTTCACCATGCGCACGGTCATTTTAATCTGACTTTTAAATTCGAGATCTCGTCAATATGGACCAGAACTGAAAATCAGCATCAAACATCTGCCCCCAACGGGAGTCGAATCTCGGACCTCTCGAGTAGGTGGCGGTGTACAAACCACTCGTCCACAGGTCGTCAAACGTAACTTTGCGTGAGAATTGGCATCATTCCTGCCATTCCAGCTCCTCCAGAAAGCCTAGCAGTGCCCGGATGTTGCTGCAAGCTTCTTCTAGTCTCCGTGAATGTCCCAATACAGAAGTCCTTTGTCTTGCAACGCCTTAACACAAAATAAAATTAAAGTCACCTTTTCCTTGATGATTTGCTGTAAGAATTCGTCCTGATCTTGAAGCCTCGCAGACAGATCTGCATGAGAGCTCCTCATACTCTCGTTTTCCTCGAGTAAAGCGCTCTGACGGTTGGCGTACATTTCGTTCACGCGGTGGCACTCTTCTTTAGACTTGCTGAGTAGATCTTGGAGAGTCATTTTCTGCAACAAAATCAGGGGGTCTGTAATAGGGTGAATCTCATATCCCCTGACTAGAAAACGCGGACTAAATTTAACCTTGGTTTTACAACTCGTGTGTGTCAGTGGAGGATTTCTGACACGAGTTAAGAAAATTATTTTCATATTTTGCTTATTGTCATATTTAGTTATAGTTTTTAATTTATCCATCTAATATATCAATATCTTTGAAGAGAAACTATTCAGGATTGATTTAAGACATAAATGAAGCCTGGACGTACAGTAAAACTCGAATAATCGCAAGATCGCGCGGAACCAATTTCAAGTAAGTGATTCCAAATTTTTGCTCGCGAGTGTAGATAAAAATAAATCAGGTTCTCTAAAGACCATTGGAGGCGCGTAATTATGATATCATCATCGTCCAAAGTAGTAAAGCTAGCTGTATTGTATAACTTGTACTCCTACTTTTGTCCTTTGCTAGTAATCTCACCTCAGCCTCCAAGCGTGTAGTTTCATCAGCAAATGACTTGATCTTTTTCTTGAAAGCCTCGAGGTCCCGTCGAGTCGTTTGTAGCTCAGCCTCGTTACTACACAGCCTCTCGCACGCGTCATCGTAATCTCGACGTAAGTGAGTCAGCGACAAGTTCTCCTCTCGAAGCCTGTTGGAAAATTGATTAACTTCCTCAGCCTATTTCCACATAGTTGAGGCACAGACCTTCCGGGGAGTAAAGTGTGTTTGTTTAAAAGAAGCATGACAGATAATAGGGATGACGGCTAACTTTTTTTCTTAATCTATCAGGTAGATTCTCGAAAAGTATTTTACAAGTAATTTTTCTTTTTTCACATGATTAAAACATAACACAGATATATTAATTCAAAATGCCGCATGACGTCACGTTTTGGTACAACTTTTATTTTATAGTGACGTCACAAGCCCCCCTCCGAAACGTTGACGCGATTTATCTTTGTCTTTTTTGGTTGATTGACCAAAGAAAAAATATTAGTGTCCATTGTGTTTTGATAAATCTAACTGACAGACTCAATAGAAATTCGTTTATTTTTGTAAGGGAAAATCAATGTACAAGTTAAACCCAATGATAGTAAAAGATAATGTTTACTAGGAAATAATGTCACTAAGTCAAGATACGTCTTCCGCTCTGCGGGCGGATCCACTAGCCTCTATGCTACCCCGACTGGACAACGGAAGACGCAGGTTCTCGACGCTGACGCTGTAGATTAATATATTGAACAATTTAATGCTTAAAAATAAAACTAATAAACCGATAAATTTTGTTAAAACACTGTTTTATTTCCATGTAAATTCTATATTACAAAATATCACTCTATCAATAGCCTCAGCATATTGCGAAAGTAAGGCGCGTAAATAACAAATACACAACTGTTTCTACCTGACCCCAATTAGCATGGCAGGCTTGATTGGAGTAGTTACTATTTGTTTATCAATCTGTACGATTACTGATCACCGTTTATTCCCAGTCGCCCCAGCGGGGATCGTCACCGGAGGCAAATGGGAATAAGAAAAACTGCACGTTAATTCTCAATCACCCCCACGGAGTAGCCGCTGGAGGCAAATGGAAATGAAGTCACAGCCCCCACTTTAGTTCATTTATTCCTATTTGGCAACCCTTGAAATCAGCGTATAATCCCAGTGGCCCCGGGAATATACGCTGATTACTCGTTTTTTTTTTTTAGTTTATTTGGGAAAACAAACAACTGTACAATAAATTTTGATAGCAAAGAAATTGATATAACTTACTTATTGTACAATCAACACCGTTATCCTTAGTTATATATATATACTAGCTGACCCAGCGAACTTCGTACCGCCCTAAAAAAATAGGGGTTGTCCAGCGGACAAAATTGTGAATCTAAACCATTCTCAGATCCCCTTGAACACACACAAAAAATTTCATCAAAATCGGTCCAGTCGTTTAAGAGAAGTTCAGTGACATACACACTCACAGAAGAATTATATATATAAAGATATTTATAAAAAAGAAAACATCTCAAAAATATAAAAATCACTAAAAAGTATTTTTGCAAAAAGTGTAATTTATGTGTATATTATTCTTCTTTATATAATACTTTCCTTCCCTTCAAACCAAGCATTCAAATGCATTATACATTTAAATACTTAGCTTAAAAAAAATAACAATAATTATTTTAGGGCACCAAACACAGCGATGAAACCATGAATTCACGAGACAAGTAAGTAGCTACCAAATAAAATTATATATATTATATTTACATAGGCTTCTAAGTTTTGTAATAACTTCCTTTTTGAATGAGCGCGGTGATAGGCAAATAATATCGAGATTGTACAGGCAGTCGTTGTATAGGGACGCTATTTTGTGAAGTGGTGCACGTTTTCCTGCATTAGTCCTTGTGTATTTGATATGAAAAAGTTTATGTGGGCGGGCATTGCGTATTCTTACAGAACTGCTCGGAATTCGATAGTAGATGTTATTTGTTAACTCACAGCAGTCAAAAAAGTTATGGATAATTTTATACAGAGTCGTTACACTCAACATTGTTCTACGAGATTGCAAACTTTGCAAAGAATACCTATTTAGTAACTTGCCATAAGAACATTTCGGCATACGACAATTGTAGTTAACTCTTTTTAAGAATTTTCTTTGAACTGATTCAATTAATTCGTTATATTTGTTATAATGTGGATTCCAAACAGTTGTTGCATATTCCAGTTGCGACCTCACTAGACTCTTCATTAAATGCATATATGTGGCGGGCTTTTTAAAATTACAACCTATTCGCATGATAAATCCGTACATTTGGTATGCCTTGCTTACAACAGTAGCCACATGATTATCAAGGTGAAGCTCAGAATCAAGCAATACACCAAGATCACGAATTACTTGGACTTTCTCTAAACTTTTTGTACCTAGAGAATAAGTGAAATGAGTTTTATTAACTTTTTTTGTGAATTGACTTGCATTTTTTTAAACTCAGATGCAACTTATTCAAAGTGCAATAGTCAACCAGACGACTTAGATCTTCCTGAAGGTTACAGCAGTCATTCAAGTTGTGAATTTGTTTAAAGACTTTTAAATCGTCTGCGTACAAGAGGAAGTTACTATTCTTAAAGCACTGATCTATATCATTGATAAAGATGATAAAAAGCAATGGTCCTAAAATAGAACCTTGCGGTACGCCCGAAGTTGCCACGATTCTGGCGGAAGTATAACCCCTAATAACCACCCTTTGAGTTCGGTTATCAACATATGATCGAAACCAACGCAAGAGGTCTCCTCTGATTCCGTTATAGGCAATCTTTCTAAGGAAAATTTCGTGGTCAACCTTGTCGAAGGCCTTGGAGAAGTCAGTGTAGATTGTGTCAACTTGAGTGCGCTGATCCATACTTTCAAAGAGAAAATTACTGAATAACAACAAATTAGACTCAGTTGATCTTTGTTTCACAAAGCCATGCTGTTGCTTTAATATAATAGTATGTAACTGAGGATAAATTGCATTGTGGACAAGTCTTTCCAACACCTTCGACACGGTTGACAACAAAGAAATAGGGCGATAATTACGAACATCATTTTTGTTCCACATTTATAGATGGGGTGATATTTGCACTCTTCCATATTTGAGGTACAGTTGCTTCTCTCATGCATTTGTTGAAGAGTATCACTAGTGGGACAGATATACATTCAGCCGCCAATTTAATAAAAAGGGGTGGAATATTGTCAGGTCCATGTCCTTTGTTTACGTCGAGTGTCTTCAATATCTTGACTACATCATGTCGTGTAAAGCTAACATGAGATATTATAAAGCCACTGTTGTTATGTTCACTCCGCATAGAGTTACTATCAAAGTTATGGATGGTACTTGACTCAAATACGGAACTAAAAAAAATACTGAACAGGTTACATATTTGCTCAGGATCATCAGACTTAGAGTCATTATAAGTCATTACATCAGGAATACCGCCAACGTCTCCGTTCTTGGGGACATATGAGCAAAAAGCTTTTGATGTCCTGACGTATACTTTTCTCTACCGTATTTATATAGTTATTAAAACATTCCTGAACATTGTTTTTAAATCGTCGACGGTATAAGGAAAAGATCTCATAGTCTGAAATATTACCAAATTTATTCCATTTAACCCAGGCCTTATTCTTATTTTTAAAAATGTGTATTAGTGGGCGAGTAAACCATATTGGAAATTCCCTAGACTTCACAGGTCTTAGTGGAATGTGTTAAGCGATAATTTGATATATTTGCTCATAAAATAGGTTGACTGCTTCCTCAATAGGAGGTGCGTCTAGCAAATCATTCCAATTGATAGCACTGACATCATTATTAATAGCTTGGTAATTGCCTTCAAAGAACCTGTAACGCGGAGCTTTATTATCTATTATAGGTGAGCAATTCAAATTGAGAGGTGCTGCTATCAGTAAGGGCGGGTGGTGACTATCAACGGGTTGTAATGGCGAAAGAGCCACTTCAATTTCGCACTCTAAAGAATTTGAAATAAATAAGTCTAGAATATTGCCACTACTGTTCTTGTTAACATTATATTGAAATGATCGTAGATATGAAATAAAGTTAATAATATAATAGTCAACATCACTACTACTTTTAGTATTGATGGAATACGCAGCATAACATACTCAATATTAGGTGACAAAGTATGGGACACGTTCTGTTCGGCAGAGCCGACCGTATCACTCAAACAAAGTTCATAACGGCGTGCTGTGAGCCCGCGGCGCACAGCTATGAGCACGCCGCCACCGTCCTGTTTCCCGGTAGCCTTAAAGTTACGGTCACATCGAAATATTGTGTAGCGACTATCTATTATTGACACATCAAGTATTGAAGGTATAAGCCACGTCTCAATTAAAACAATTATGTCGTAGACCTCCGAAAGAACATTCATATAAAGTAAATTGAGTTTAGTACGTAGACCAATTTTTTATAATATGATTATCTGCGAATGTATATATATGAAACGTATTCATGTTATATAATAATAAATTGTGTATGCGCGTATGCCCGACAATGCCACTCCACCAATCATAATACCTATTTCTCATCAAAGTCATATAATTATTAAGCACTTTGATAAATAAAAGCAATAATAATAACACATGTTTTTTGTTTATACTATACGAACAATAATAAAATTCAGTAGTCAGCGCAAGTAACCAAATCAGTTCAAAATAATGGAGTCGGAGATATTTAATCACTTGCAATCACCTAAACAACTCAACACAAAGATTTAAATCATTATTTGCCTCAACAAGGCTTCTTGTAATATTTAATAATATACTATGTAACTTGTAATAAGTAAATGTACTAGAATTATAACACTGACGCGAAGTACATAATGGACAAAACAAGGTATTTGCTACTGTTTGCGTGAATCAAATTCAATCCAATATATAACAACATCAGCCACAAAATGTCATAAGACAAATTTTGTATAATATTAAAAACAACTAACGTAATATTAGGAAGTGATAATACAGAAAAAAAGTATTTTTCATTAGCATAATCGAATACGAAGTAGATGTAGGTACTTACTGCCATTAAATATCAACAAATAAATCGAAGTTTCACCACTGCTTCCGTGCACAAAAATTTCTGCATTCAACGAGAATCTCTTACAAAATCATTTATGCAAATTTTGTCATAATTTTGCATTAATAACGTTATAATTGTAGAATACTTAGATATGCATGTATGCCAACAATAATCACTGCGTCCTGAGCAGACGCAACGAAACCACAGAGCACCTCTGAACACAGAGGCAACACTAACTATAAAAAACTCAAGTAATCTTTTGAAGTCAATATAACAAAACACTGAAAGAAACAAACAACTGATTGCCAACTGAACTCTTAAATAATTATGCTGATTTCTTCTGAATTTTTTGCAAATCCTCTTGATGGCGTATAGCAAAAACCGATGAAGTGCTGTTTTCGCGAACAAAGATGATTCCGTTTTTAACCCAACAATACTTAAATCCAATATTTTTGGCAACCAATCTGGCTTCACGACACAAGTGTTTATTTTTTAAAGTCAGATGCTCATTTAAAAATATTTTTGTGGTGGCCCTGTTACATTCAGTTGATCTGTAGTGACTCCCTTGGCCAGCCTAGTTGCCGCTAACAGGTTGTCTCTCATGATTTTACTGGGGAGTTTAACTATCACATTCCTTGGCTGTTTATTGTTTTTGTCGGCGTGTGGAACCCGGTGAATGGCAACAATGTCTAGTGATGACAGAGGCTGATTTACCACAGTTCCTAAGTCTAATATCAAGGACATCAGATCCTCTCCACGTCTTTCAGGCAGATAGTTTATCTCCACATTGCACACTGGCGAGCTTGCTGTTCCATGATTTCTATTTTACTTTGTAGCTGATTAATCTGCTGCATGTGGATATCATTCAACGCGGATTTCTCTTCTAGAGTATGAAGACGAGAACACATATCATCAGTCTTCTTATTTAGCTTTTCGTACTCAGTATGCATAAAATCGAGAGATTTTTTTACCTCTTCAACTTCTTTCAGCAACTTGGACTGTTTTTCGTCGTATTTAGAAAACCACTTTTCTAGTGTAGACGTAATATTATTTTGGAACATTTCAAAATCCTTTCGAAGATTACTTTCAGTTCTCTGCCTTTGTGTGACGAAATTCGGAGGAGTTACCAGATCTTCACCAGACTGAATATCACTAACTTCGCCCACACTCATTGCCTGCTCGCAATCTTGTTGATTTATTGTACTGTTTAGATGACTCATTATTACGTTACACTCTGTTTGCAAACTACTCTGTGAACGTCGTACGAGGTGAGATGTAAAGGACTAGCGACCGCGGATCCCGTGTGAACGTTTGCGACATCTTGTACAGGGAGAAAATCACCACTCGGACCCAGTGGGGATAGTTCCCACCACTCCACACTTAACCCGCGTGAGTTTGTCCTTTCGCCCAGATTGAGCAAGTTGCTTAAAAGGTCAGTAAAGTGAAATTAGGGTTTCGCACTTAACAAAACAAATTACCAACTGTCACCAACAAAAAGTAAATATATCTGTTCAGTAGACGGTTGTTTGAAATCAACATTAAACAGTGAATTGTCATTTTTTTTAATTTGTAATATAGCAACCAGGGCTTGTTTACCGGTTAATTTTCAAGCCTAAATCAGTATCAAGTACATTAGGAGCGTTTTATTTAGGTTTGGCTCTACCTTATCCTTGATAACCGGTTTTCCTAAAAAGAGAAATCAAATAGGTTTTCAATCAATTTAGCGGTTTTTAAAGGGTTTCATTTCGATCTTACTGACGGCATCGCCTTCGCCGTTTCAATACAAATTTATTATTAACTAGTGGCCCGCCTTCGCTTCGCTTCGGTGTAGAGCTGTAGTGTAAACTATAGTTTTTGTTCTCAGGCTTATGCTATAAACAATGACTTTATTTATATAATTACACGTGTTATTGTGAGTCAACCACAAAAGATAGACATATGCTGTTGCGGGATTTTTAGACAATTTTATGTAGAATATTTCCGTCATACATGATTTCTATATAACTTTAACCATTAAGGCTGCACACGCGACGGAAGCTTAAAAAATGGAGTAACTTCTCCCGTTTTCCCAACATTTCCCTTCACTACTCTGCTGCTATTGATTGTAGCGTGATGAAAAGTATACTATAACCTGCCCAGGAGTATGAAAAATAATTGTACCAAGTTTAGTTAAAATCCGTCGAGTAGTTTTTGTTTCTATAAGGAACATACACACAGACAGACAGACAGACAGACAAAAAATTTACTGATTGCATTTTTGGCATCAGTATCGATCACTAATCACCCCCTGATAGTTATTTTTAAAATATATTTCATGTACAGAATTGACCTCTCTACAGATTTATTATAAGTATATAGATAATATTTTATGTCAGTTTCTTTCCAACTACAGAACTACAGAGTGAAGTAGTGTCAGTACATAACTTCAAAATGAATAACTCACTAGACGCTAGCAAACGTGTCAATGAATGCATTAATCTCTGAGCATTAACAAGTTGTGACTTGATTAGTTCAAACAGAATAAACTTCAAGCAATACCAACGCGTGAACGTGTCTCTCTGGATTAAACCGGTTTATTAAGGTTTTAGGTACCGCTTTCATTTCGGACGCGCTCCGAATGAAACCTTTTCTAAAAACCGGTATTAACTTTTATTTACCGGTATTTTCGAAACCGGTTACCAGCCCTGATAGCAACAACATTAAAATTGAAGTATTTTAGTAATCATTGGTTTATATTTCCGTTATTTCAACAAACAACAACTAAATTCGAGTGCCACTACCGCGATGGTTTTTTGTGCATAAACCAATGATGACAATCCTAGCGCGACCGCCGAGCGTAGGTATGAAAAGCGAAGTACAAACGTGATTACCTTCTGTTATGTCGATTAGTGGTATAATATTAGTACAGATTAGTCATGATTTTTTCATAACATTAAGCAAGGCCAAAGTGTACTTTCTGGGCCCACGACACTTTTCTTCACAAGGGTTAGATAAAGTTAGTGTGAACATAACGCGCGAGCCGAGCGAGCGTGTCGCGGCAGCTGCCAGCAAAGCACAAAAAAAACATAGTTAATTGAAACCAAAAACAAGGGAAGTGTCGCCACCTGGACCCAGAAAGTAGTTTTACTCTAAGCACTCACATATTGAGGTGCACCCGTAGCGAGTCCCGCTCAGCGACGAGCGCGCCCAGCACCTCCTCGTGCTGGCGGTCCGTGAACTCCAGCTGGCTGCGGAGCTGAGAGGCCAGGTGGGACTTCTCACGCAGCTCACTCTGCAGTTCTTCTAGCAACTGATAACCTGTGATGATAACATTGCACTGCCTACTTAAAAAGCATTCACCAACCATACGTGCTACAGTTTATTTGTGCAGAGGATGTCTGGAAGCAGATAAAACGGCCGTTCATGTGATCCTATAATGCATGGGCGCGGAACACCGGGCATCAATCCGAGGACGCTCCTAGAAGCCTGTGAGAGTCCCAGGAGACTACTGCGCGCTTCTGGAAGGAGCTGGGGTGGCTGTGCTAGTTATAGTAAGCCTAATATACCCTGCACGCACAATGGATAAAATACGGAGACTACGTGCGGCGGCCCACAACCTGCGATGCAAGAATCATCATTGTCATCATATGAAGACCTCCGTAGCTCTAGTGGAATCGAAGCCGGTTTCCAAGGTGTTGCCTACTCAGAGATCCCAGGTTCCAATCCCGGTGCGGCCAATGTTTGCGTGATGAATATGAGCATTTATGCCTGAGTCATGGATGTTTATTCTCAATAAAAAAATATATACTTATGTATTCCATCCGTTACCCTAGTATCCCATAACACAAGCCATACAGTGCTTACTTTGGGCATATGCTGATTTGGTGTGTATGTTAAAAATATGTATTTCTTTTGTCAGATTTTGAATGTCTTCACAGCTGTGGCACAGACCTCACCTAAGTGAAAGTAGGCCATCGCAGAAAAAATATTATCAATTGTATAGTACACATATGAGGCATATGATTATATGTTATACATATGAGAATATAATTAAATTTCGTAAAAATTATAGCGATTCCATTAAAGAAAACTGATATTGACAAGTTATCAAAAGAATTAAAATGAACTAGCTGGTCCCATATTATTTCTGATTTCAAAAATTACAATGCTAATTTTTGGGCTTATTTATATTTTTTTATAGAAAAAATGCCTCAAGCTAATTATTCATATACCTATGCATCAAACTAAAAACATTCTGATGAGCAAGGGGTATTACCAAATCCAGGACTATTTGAATAATCAAAGCTTCTGACAATTAATTTATTTGTATTTTTATTGACTCTGCACATTCTTTCCGGTTGACTGGTAGAGAATGCCATGCTGGCATTAAGTCCGCCATATGCAATGTAAAGGCATTAAGGATTAAATAAATAAATAATAAAATATTATTTCATTGGTTTCATCAAGAATTTTGATTTCACTTAAAGTATACAATGCATCAATAATGCTCATAAAAAATGCAGTAGCAACATAATTGAAATGCTGATGAGTTTCTTGCATCCATTCTTATTAACTAAAAGAAGTTTTGAAAAATATTGTGAGTAGAAAAAAAAATATGATTTCAAGAGCTGTTTTATAATTATGTCAATATAATTTTATAATTTCAAAATGTACTTACTTTAATTAGTTTCATTTCTTTATTACATAATAAAAATAAAAGCAAGTATTCCTGATATAGCACACAAGTGCTATAGTTTATTAAAGATTTGTTTTTTTCTCAAAATAAGTTTTTTGCCTACAATAGAAAAAAAAAAATTAAAAAAAAATTGATAATTTTAAAGATTGTCTGACCAATACCAACAGTTATTTAAAAAAAAAGAAAATATTCACCATCTGATATTCCAGAGTCTGAATCTTGCGGTGCTTGGCCACACCTTAAATTGAAACTGTAAAAGATATACACAGTAACATTAATATTTAATTAGGAAAACTAACAATATTAAAAACTCAACATACAGCACAAGCACTCAAAATATGTCCCAATCAAGAAGTGCTTGAACTCCACTAAAGCACTTCTTGGTTTGCTTGCAAAGCTTGCATTTGAACTGTCAGCTCTTTGACGTGAGGTTTTAAATTAAGACCTTATATACTATGCATTAATGGTGACTTTAAATGTTTGAATAATGCTTTATGTTGTGTTTGGTTATGCAATCATCCCGCAGAGCTCAGTGGATCGTCCAATGTACCTATTGCACAGATTTCAGTCATGATTTTATTTGTGTTGTTGTATCTAGGGGTTCTAATCCAATATACCTTTAGGACAGGTTTCAATCATGATTTTGTTCATGTTGTTGTATCTAGAGTTTTTAATATATTTGAGTAGAACACAAAGTATAAAGCTGTTCTAAATTCTATAGGTAGTTTAAATTTAAATACCTAAGAAATAAAGATTAATCAAGTATTAACAGTAATCTTGATTGACCTAAAAAATTAAGTATTTTCTTACATTCAGGGCCTACTTTTTGGAAGTCTACTTCTGCTATAATTGCATTTCATAGTTAGAAAGGAGATAAGGTATGTTACATTGACTACTTTGTAAGTGTTTGTTTATTAGCTCCCCAAATAAAAAAAAATATATAATGAAAGCATTCAAAAGTACTAAGTTAATAAAACTTAATCAAATTCATTACTAATGAAAAGAAAAGTTTATTTGCATGAAACATAAGTTTGTCATGTTGGTATATAAGTTCCTAAGTTTCACCCTTGGAAGTTTGGAAAAATAAGTTAAAATGAAATTTCGTGACAGTTCATAATTATACAAGACATGTCAAATTTTTCTTTTTACGTTTTCATGCACATCACTCATTAAAATAAAACAAGTTTCGACGGGTTAGATGCACTGATCTTATTTATTAATTTACGTTTCGCATCCTTTGCAGGAATGAGTCTGTTAAGGTAGCTCAACAAAAATAAATAAAAAACATTATTCTGACGATGCATTCCTACAAAGGATACGAAAAGTCAATAAATAAATAAAATCAGTGCATCTAACCCATTGAAACTTGTTTTATGTCAAATTTAACAATTCAATAACCTTTTCCTCATTGCATCAACAAAATTACAAATATTAATTTAAAATAATAATTCATTTCAGAAAATGTTAGTAAAAATAATAATAAAACAAAAAACTTAAAAACCTTTCATCAAGATCTAATTTAGATTTCTGGCTCTTGCTGTATTTATTGAGAGCATTTGCAAGTTTTGTGACACTTATCTCTGGATTATCCTGCTCTGGATCCAAAAGAGACTTCAGAAAACTATATTCAGTCCTAGTGGAAAAACAAAACAAAATAAACATGTAGTAAAATATAAAAAAACAACATTATGTGATACAATGTAGTACTAGGTACTCTTAAAATGACTGGGTATAACAGTACCCCTAGCACGAACCATTATTGAATTTGAATAGTTGCAAACTGAAATGTCAATGTCAAATATTGTATGGAAACTTGAACAACAGCCCCACAAAGTACGTAACGAGAACTGAAATCAGTACACATTTGACAATGGCATTTCGGATTCACAAACAATATGAATTCGATATTGGTTCATGCTAGGGATACAGTTGAATTTTCATAAAAAACACTCACTTGATATGTATCCTATAATTTAAATATAATTCAGTATTCAAGTATCTGCAGTTCTACGCTATGTATTGATAAATAAACCAAAACTCTTCAGATCATTTTAATTTCCATATTCTAAATAGATATGTACTTATGTTGAGGTAACATAACATTGAGATATTCTTAACATTTCATTCAATCGCATTTAATTTATTACAATACTTACTTGTTAGTTTTAACGAAAGGTGCAAATTTATCCATCAGTGAGTCCACACGTAAAGTACCAGAGACTTCAGCACCACAATAGTCGAAAATTTGCAAAGCAGTCACGTAATAATCTGCAAAACACACCGATAAAATTAGTATGCGCTGAAATTAGTAATTTTATAATTAGTTGAAATACCAACGGGCCGTTGTATTTATAAATGTAATTGTCATTTACCGTCGGTCTTAGATGTATCCATCTCCGAAGTCATTTTCTAGACGTGATGAAAATACAAATACAATGACACACGTGTTCATAAATATGCACGATATTCTACCAAATTGTTTATTTTACATTAGCTCAGTTTTGATTTTTAACGCGATACTGAGAAGGAATACGGAAATAGCATCTATACTAAAGAAACGGTTACAAGGCTACGTTCCAAACCTACGCCCGGGTATCAACAAATGTCAAATTTGACATGAGCTTCGAATAAATTTTCAGTTAAAGTTGAAACGTCAAAGTTAGAAGTTGCACTCATAGTGTAGGTTTGGAACGCAGCCCAGTCCATCCATAGTGATGGGCTAATGAATGCATTACGGGTGTAATTAATCGATATCCTTATAATCTACTTTATTTGATAAAATTGTAGTTATCAAGTTGAAATTGTAAAAATTAATTAAAAAAAATGTGTGCACAAACATCTGAAGTGAAACTTCTTTTCTTAAATAACCTAACATTAGGCGGTGCATAAGGTATATATACAGGGTGGAAATTTTGAATGCCACCCCCAGGGCAAGTACTCTAAATACTGGAGATAGATAATTTTACGCAGAGGAAACATTCCTTTATTTTTAAAAAGAAACACAACTGCATTCACAGTTTTTCGAAAATTTGCTTGTCACACGCGGTAATCGAACTGGCAAAATTCGAAAAAATGACATCCTGTATTTTTATGGCATTGATCGATAGGGTCAATCTTAGGGATCATATCTTACTAATAAACTTAGTACATTAAATTAAAGGAAAAGCATGAAAACATAACTTATTTTATTTGAACAAAAAAAAATATCATTCTAACCAAGTAATTAGTTGCTCGAAATGATCTCCATTTTGTTGTATACACAAATTTATTCTTTTTAAAGAATTCATTTCTAGCAATTTTAATAGCGTGTTGTGATGATTGTCGATCCGCATATACCTCTCCATACCACGGCAGAGCTAAATTCACATCTTTGTGATTTAAAAAATAGGTGCGTGTACTTATGTAGGCGCGTGAGAAGTTATCCTTCTTTGGCATCGTTTAAAATTAGTTTTTAATTGCATGCAAATAATTAATTACAATAAATTAATAAAAAGTCTGGAAAAGGACACAGTCAATAAAGTTCAGTTTCAATTTGAAAAAATAAATAAATAATCAAAATATTCAATTAAAATCGCTACTGAATATAATTTATTAGAACATATGTGATTTGCACTTGTATGAAACTCAAACACGTATTCCGAATATACAAACTAGAAACATGTGGATAAATATTATAAATATGAATACCTATAACTGTTACTTTATTACAAAAAATAAAGATGTGGTTTTTGGTTCTACTACACCAATGGTCAAGAGATGGCGCTGTAGTCTCCTGAATCGCGCTTTGGTTCCGTTGTTCCAGATTAATAAATACTTTTTGTTACTTTATTACAAAAGTTAAAGATGTGGTTTTTGGTTCTACTACACCAATGGTCAAGAGATGGCGCTGTAGTCTCCTGAATCGCGCTTTGGTTCCGTTGTTCCAGATTAATAAATACTTTTGATAGGCCTTCACAATGCAGTCGTTAGCACCCACAAAATAGAGATTCTATTTCTATTTTGTTGGTAGATTTTCTTAATGTGCGGTAAACACAAAAGTAACGCATGAAGTTGGTCGCTAAAGCGACCAACTTCATGCTGTTAATTTTTTGTGTTACAGTGATGCGCGCGCATCTTAAAATTTCACTCTCATCATTTTTTCATAACGCGCCTAAAGAAGTATAACTTCAAAAATATGCTTCAATTAAATCAAATTCTTCTTGATAAGCCATTATTTATTATGGTAAAATTTGATGCAGCAAACAAGACTTAAGACAATTCGTTCCAATTCGCTATTTATTCTATTTTCAAAAATATGTAACATACCCCTTTGAACACTTTATTTAAATTACTGGTACCAAAGAAGTTGTACGGCGCGCCCCCTGAGACTGATACCTTACTGGACTCTTTAGTCTGCATTTTAGACATGTGCAAAAAATTCTTTATTCGTTATTAGAATGAATAAATGACGTCGAAGATAATAAAAATACTAACTCGTGTAAGGTGGGATAAAACTGCTTTTAATCTTGTTCCATTCAGTTAAGTTAAGATTTCAAGCTTTACCTTCCATTTAATGTACTAAGTTTGTTATTGAGATATGATCCCTATGATTACAAGGGTGTAATTTTTTCCAATTTTGCCAGTTCGATTCCCGGGTGTGGCAAGCAAATTTTCGAAAAACTGTGAATGCAGTTGTGTTTCTTTTTAAAAATAAAGGAATGTTTCCTCTATGTAATATTATCTATCTCCAGTATTTAGAGTACTTCCCCTGGGGGTAGCATTCAAAATTTCCACCCTGTATATTATCGCGTGTGACGCTCGTGACGCCCGTAGCGTTTCAGCCTTGAGGCAATATAATGGAGGATAACAAATATGAACGGCGAGAGCATGAAGCGTTACACCTTGGAAGTCTTTGCCTCGATGACGATGACGGTTCTAATATCAATGTAAGTATAAAACTTCACAAGCCCTCCACAGCACAATAAATAAAAATACGTGTGGCACTCGGGGACTGCCGCGGTGAAACTTATGCAATTATAATAATTTATTAATTTTATTTATGCAGTATTTTTTTGATGTTGTTCAATTTTTTTTTTCGATATTAATAGATGGCGAGGCAGGCCTTATGATATGTTATTGGGCAAGCACAGCAAACAACAGCATTGCCCGGCGCCAAAAAAACTTACACAAGCTCCACAGTTTACCATCTGAAGTCCAAAAATTTAAATTATAATTATAAAGTCTATATAAAACAGAGACAAATAAAAATAAGAACAGGTGCTGGGGTCTAAAACAAATATATAAAAAAAGGAAAAATTATAATAAGAAATACAAGTGCGGGATTTGAATCGACGACCGCGGTGACGCGTCAAAAGGTGGTTCCTTGGCAAAAATTTAACACACTGCGCCGTTTCGATCAATATTGGACTGGCGAAAATTGTGTTCATATGCACTCTTGTCATGTTATTTTCGTTTCGGAATTTCTTGATTCGGTCGCCGCGCTCAAAGCCCGCGATAAAATCTATGCAATAGCTTAAAAACACTGCTTCTAACCATTAATACCCTAAAACTATGTTTTAAAAATTTTGGTTTTAAACGGCATGGTTTGATTCGTTTTAAACCGACCTTTCAACTATAATCGTGACAATATGTTTTATTCGGAGTCTGAAGCTCAGTGTTATTTAGCTGGAGCGTAGCATATTACGAAATTATAAACAGAAAATGTAAACGACCTAGAATTTGGGTAAAATATTGGATAAAAAAGACTAGCGCTGTCGCACACCCATTTAATTCAAGAATTGGCAGCAGAACTTTTTTGTAAGTTGTCTTTGTGAGATCGAAAAGTAAATAATTCTCTATACTGTGAATAAAATTGAATGTTCTTTGATAAAGATTAATGTGGTTTAAAAAAAAACTATACCTTAAAAAAATTATAAGTCCTGTTCAAACTTCCCAGGGGGCCATTCGCCTAACGGAAATGCTTTGGAAAACGCTAACGCTTTAATTTTATTTTGTTATTTCTGACCGCCGAAGGTTTTCAAATACCTATCGCTCATTTTTATTAATATTGTTATTACCGATGCAAGATAAAATAAGAGCGCGAGGCATTTTAAAACCTCAGTTGACTAGAAATAACAAAATGAAATCGTAAGCGTTAGCGTTTTCCAAAGTATTTCCGTTAGGCGAATGGCCCCCTGGTACCATTGTTTTGTATAAGCCTACCTTTCTAAAGATGCCTTCACTCACTGTTGCTCGCATTGCAAGTTAGGTTTTATTTGATCGGCCTCTGCCAACAATATACTTATCTACTAATGAGCGATACTTTTGTATTGTATGTACATTAGACCTGTCCTTAAGCAGGGCAAAATCGAATTTTAATGGTCTTACCCCCCAAATTGGGTGGAAATAATTAAAGAAAAAGGTCAGAATTTTTTAAAAATTTTCCCTCCATATTTACCCACCGCTAGGAAGCCTTACTTTTTCCCATAAGAAAAGCATTGATTTTTCGTGACTTTTAATCTTTTTTTTAGTGTTACTCTAATTATCAGCTAAAAAATCGTAAATTCTCAGAAAATGTTTACAGTAATGTAACCTTTTTGTCGATTTTTTTGGAATTCGATCCAAGCATTTTTGGGTCAGATCAATCACGTCTTTATTCTCTGTATGTTGCTAAGAACGCGGAAAAAGAAAAAAAAGTCGAAGAACGTCGTTTTGAGCGTTAAAAATTAGAGGAATAAAATGGCAGAGGTTAAAAAAAGAGAAGAAACTTTTTGCTGAAAATTATGTATTATCGAAAATCGCTGAAAATAGTCGAAAAGTATCTTTCAGAGGTCCAAATATACAAATTAAAATCGGTCAAGTCGTCACATATTGTATTAAGGATATTGTCCCTGTCACGTATTTCTAAATTATATAGCAGAGAATATCATGATACATCCTTAAACCGATTGCTTTGTTCATAAATTTTGCATGACCGTTACCTTCTTCGAATCAGGGAACTTTCTCCTATGTTCCTCAATGACTTGGAAAATGTATTGTTTCTGGTTTTCATTATGCGTGAGAATATTATTAAAATCCGTCAATAGACCAACAGCCCTTTCGGCCGCATCATTCACAACTTTTAATTTTTTGACAATTTCCGAACCTTCTCGAAAACTCGCAGTTCCAGACCAAAGAGATGGGTCAATTTTTAGAAACGATTGATCAATTTCAAATCGGAGAAAAAAATTCCGGGTTTGTGATGTTACAAAATGATCGATCTCTTTGTCGCAGTAATTGCCAATGTCTTTTACTTTGATTACAATTTTCTTCGGGCAATTTTGATCAATTTCTTCGATCACGTCGCCCGGGCCCAACTCGGACACCATGCAACGTTTCACGTCCAATGGTAAATTCTCATCAAAAAATGATAAGGCGACCGTTTCAGGGCTCAAAAACCAGAGGTGATTTACAAATTTTTGCATAGCTGCATTAGCTATCTCTCTGTCAACACTCTTATAATTATAGAGTTTTTTCAAAAATTGAAGATCATGATTTGGAGCTGCTCCTGCGACTGGAGCAGTGAACCATGCTTCCAGATAAATCGTAACGATAAAAACCGATACATCGCGGATCGCCCGATATTCAGTTTTTGTCATTTCGAAACTGTCTCGGAACAAAAATATTTTCAAAGAATAAATAGCTTTGGACATGAAACGTGCATGATGCATTGCACCCGGTGAACGTATTGCAACTCCTTGTGATGGAACGGTTCCAATAAATAATTGTGTCAAAATCAAAAGCTCCTTGTAATCCGCTCGAGGTTGGTCCGTTTCTAATGCCCGTTCAACAAACGAATTGATTCTCGTGATATTCTCAACAGTTACAATGCTCTTTACTTTTTTATCATCAATGCCAATGCGAAGCGCTGTTGAATCGATTTTTGACCAGGAATCTTTGAAACGTTTGAAAATAGGTTCATCTGGTCCAGTCGAGGGGGACTTTAATTTCGCATTGAAAGCGCTTTTCAAAACTATCTCAAAAATATGGTGTCGACATGGCAGGTATAAAATAGATTTCTCTAACATTTGTTCTAATAAAACCGCCGCGCCATTCATGACACCCATGTTCGAAGCCGTTGTATCACAACAAAGAGCTTTTATCGAGCTCAAAGCACCCCACTCATCGAGAACGTCATGAATGGCGTTTGCTTGCGTAACGCCTCTCCAGTTTTCGAGTTTTGGGACACCTAACAGCTTCTCAGAATCACTGTTTGTTATCAAAACGGGAAGTCTCTCAAGCTTCTTACCACTAAAGTAATCAGCCAAAAGTTTTCCGTCCCAATGTACAACAGCGGCTCGCAAATCAGTATTTTGGAACATACTTTTTATTTTTATGGACCTCATTTCACGCAATTTTTCACGCTTTCTCTTTATCGAGCTCCGATTAACAATTAACGCATTTAAATCGAATCCAAGAGACTACTACAGAGAGCTACAGAAGCAATTAAATGAACGGCCGATGTATCGGAGACTTTAAATCTATCAAGAACGGCGACGAGTTTGTCATTTACCACATCTACGGTGCCTCGAGATTTTTTCGGATTTGATGGTCCAGCATCATCTGCAGCATGGTCTGTTGTGGAATAATTTGAAATCGTGCCCATGGATTTTTGTGACAATGTTTGTGAAAAGTCGCCACCATCACTCGATGCCAATTCCACGATCTCATCTGGAAGAATTTTTTATCGTTCTTACATATCTTTGCTGATTGAGGATAAAAGAAAAAGTACCCTGAATGAAAAAAAATGACGCCACGGTTTACAGAATATGGCTCACACAAAAGGACGAAATTTGCAGATACCGATGAAGAATTGATTCGAAAAAAAAATTCATCAAGAACCCAAAAATAAGCACCATAGAGAATGTGAAAGAGAAATCAAAAAGTATTACAAAATTTTTCAATAGTGCCCCTTACTGCAAATGTATAGCAATCAAATCTCTAAATGGCAAAAAGAGCCACTAGTGTACACGAAATTGGAGTTCAAAAAATTAAAAAAAAAAACGCACAACTCGGTAATTGGTCCAAGAACGAAATTATATTCTGATATTTTTCCGAAAATGCTAAAGTCAGAAAATAGAGGTTGCAAAAGGTCGAAATTTGCAGGTGCAAAAATCTTCAGGGTCATAAAACAATGGTTTGGTCAAGATATTTGGAGAAAACTTACCAAATAATGCTCTTTCTTGTTCCATTCTTTCCAACCTCTGTAACGCATCGGTTGTTTTTCGCAATTCTGCTGCCTCCATCAAATCATATGTGCTTTGGATATCCCAGATGAAACCGATACGACCAGGCTTCCTTTGATTTTGCAGAAATTCCGTTCTTACATCGTCGAGACCTACAAGCGCATCTTGATGGGCGATGTCAAAAAGGTCATCCAGTTTACCGCAGAATTCTTCTTCCCTCTTTTTATTGCTTGGGGCATTGATATTTTTTCCCAATAGATGCCATTGTCGATGTAAATCCATCAGTTTCGTTACGCAGTTATAATCTTGCTTCGTTTTTAATCTTGCTTTTGTCCAAAAAATCATAGTTTCACGCACGGCTAGTGATGCACTTGTTTTTATATCAAAACCTGACACTCGCGTGTTGAAAAACAAAACTTTTAAAACTTGACGAGTTGATGGTAGTTTGTTCCCGAAAATTTGGGAATCCACACAACCAATCAAACGAATGTTTTCTCGTAAACGCATTGTGCACCTAACCCAAATCGACGAAATATGGGAGACTGCGATTGTAGGGCCTCAAGTCGATACTCTCGGAGCTCGGAGTCCAGCGGTAGCAAGACCCTTTGTTTGCGGGCGTTGGTGTTAATCCGCGTCGATATAGTTTTTCGACTTTTTCCCGCGTTTTTCGCAACCTACAGAGATTAGAGATGTGATTGATCTGACCCAAAAATGCTTGGATCGAATTCCAAAAAATCCGACAAAAAGGTTACATTATTGTGAACATTTTCTGAGAATGTACGATTTTTTAGTTGAATATTAGGGTAACGCTAAAAAAAAGATTAAAAGTCACGAAATATCAATGCTTTTCTTATGGCAAAAAGTAAGGTTCCCTAGCGGTGGCTAAATATGGAGGGAAAAATTTTAAAAAATTCTGACCTTTTTCTTTAATAATTTCGACCAAATTTGGGGGGTAAGACCATTAAAATTCGATTTTGCCCTGATTAAGGACAGGTCTAATGTACATACAATGCAAGAGTGTAACTCAGTTCATTCTATAAGTCTGTGATGTTTGTTACTCAATCACGCAAAAACGGTTGAACGGATTGGAACTTAATTTATTACCAGGGGCCAATCACCCAACGGGATCGCTATGGCACTCGCACTTTTTTTCTTTTACATTGGTAATAACAATATTAAAGAAAACGAGCGTGAGGAATTTGAAAACCTTAAGCAGTCAGAAATAACAAAATGAAATCGTAAGCGATATAGATAGCCATAGCAATACCGTTAGGCGATTAGCTCCTCGGAATTTGACATGGATACTTTTTATCTCGGAAAATGTTAAGTTCCACGCGCAATGTTTGTATTTCCGTAACTATTGTGTAACCGCCATAGTGACTGCTAAGTTTACAAAGGAATAAAAGTAGCCACCATGTGAGGTACTTATCTTTGCGGTACATAACCAGGTACCATGGTAAATGCTTAAAATTAAAACAGAAATGAAACAACATTTTCGTTGAAAAATACTTCTTTATATTTAAATTAACTAAGTATAATAGTAACTAAGATATAAGTAAAAAGCTAATTATAAAACTTATCTTTCTCTTATATTGTTCAAAATTTCTACTAGACCTTTGTGTACTTTTAATAAAATTAACTTTGTTTCTACCATGGTGAAGTCACTCAGCTCGATCTAGAAAAAAAACAATGAAACTCTAGCGCTGACCGTTATTGCGCAGAAGTAAAAATTAAGATGTCTTGGCGGAAACGAGGTGCGCGGGCGGGCGTACGTTGCGCCGATTGGCTCTACAGTCGTATCCATGCCACGGCAATATTATCTTCCATGCGCAGTTATCCCCTCCGCGTTTTGTTCAGTGCTAGAATTACCAATTGCCTAACGGGATTGCTATGGCAATCATAAGATTTAATTTGTTTATTTCTGACCCCCGAAGGTTTTCAAATACCTTACGCTCATTTTCTTTAATATTGTTATTACCAATGCAAAAGAAAAAAAAACATTCAACAAACCTTCAGCGGTCAGAAATAAACAAATTAAATCGTAAGCGATAGCGATAGCAATAGCCATTTCTTTAGGTGATGGGCCCCCTGTATACCTTTACTTAAATTTGACAACGTGTATCGTTGTCATTCTCTATAAAGAATGAAAGCGAGAGAGACTTATGTTAAATTTAGTTTTAAGTTTAGAGAATCATGTCAGTATCCACACCAGTGGCGCCCTTCCTGAACTGACACTCACGTTGTTAAAGATCCTTGTCGCACTGTATGTACGACCGAAATCGGTAATCTGATTAATTAAGTATCGATGGACAGTGAATTTCGTAAAATGAAATTTATTCAGGAGAGCACAGAAATATAATTATATAAACAGCGGATTTTCCGCTCGACTTAGAGAAGCCGTCTGGGTAACTGTCACTTATGCTGCGTTTCGAACGTAGTGCTCAGAACAATTCCGAGCGAGCATACATTTGTTCGCTCGGTAAATGAATGCTCAAACAATGTTGCGTTGTGTTTCCATTGATGACTTAAGTGTCGCCGCACACGGGCCACCAACCACAACCACAAAGCGCCGCCACCGGCATATTTCTTGTAGTTTTCATACATTTTATATGGACTCGCCACACACGGTACGCCGGTGGCCGCCACACGCTACAAATCGTCGTTGCTCGCTTCTTGTGGCCCGCACCGGCCACTTAATGCGCCGATACAAAACGCCGCCACACGTCACTCGCGCGATTCCCCACCTCCAGGGCAACAATGTAAATATAGACGCTTGCGATATCAAAAATATCACTAGCGCCCTGACCCAATCCCCTACCCCGCGGAGACCACGAACCTTACTTATGCCTATTTCACACGAGGGCAGAACAGTGAGGCAGAACAGTGGGCAGAACAGTGGGCAGGACAGTACTGCTACCGTTTGAACGCACGGGACAGGATAGAACAGTACTGTCTCGACCGTAACCAAGGCAGAACAGTTAATAGCTCGTCGGTCTATTTTTTCGAGGCAGTTGGCTCCCCCACCGCCTCTCGCTCGACGGTCTTGTGGCTGCTGGACTCGTGTGAACGCGAGGACAGTGCAGTGCAGAAGTGGGCAGGACAGTGTGCGCGCGCGCGTCCTGACTTATTTTAAATTTGTTTGTTATCGTAAAAAATGGCACCACCGAAATTTTCAATGGACGACACAATAACACTAATAAGCAGTGCCGTCTATTGGAGGCCCTGGGCATATTAGGATAATGGGGCCCCTATGACCCCCGTTTGATGATTTAACAGGAAGTAGGGACTTTGTATTTGATCTGAGGGGGGGGGGGGGGGGGGGGGCTATCAATCGCGGGGCCCTGGGCACTTGCCCAAAGTGCCCACTGGGAAAGAGGGGTCTGCTAATTAGACTGTATAAAGAAAAAGAGTGTTTATAAAAAAGTGATCAGCGCAGACTGACTGTACTGTCCCACTGTCCTACTCAACTGTCCAGCCCCACTGTTCTGCCTCACTGTCCTGCCCTCGTGTGAAACAGGCATTAGCGACAGAAAAAGAACACCACCAAAAGGTAGTGTTACTGTGGTCTCCTGTAAGGTGGAGGTTACTTCCCCAGACGGGCGCTCCAAATCGAGCGGGACATACGCGATGCCATACCTCTCTTACAACTCCCCGTTCAGGACTGTTTTAAGCTCAAGTGAAAACGCAGCTTTACAGAATACCACAGTAAAATAACACTCCTTTTTTATGGTGTTGTCTTTATGCTGGTGAGTTAAGGGTTCCAGGGATCCGCGGGTTAGGAGATTGGGTTCTTCCCGCTAAGGTGAGGATGGTTGGAGCAGCACACTTTTTGCAGCATCATCTATCTTCGCGACCGTACTCCACTTAGACTTATCATCAGGTGTGCCGGGGTAATTTGTTACGCCTCATATTTAAAAAAAATATACATCGAAGTGAGTGAAATGGGGCGATCGTCTCTTTCCAAGTTCTACCAGCTTTCGCGGCAGGGTGAACAATTAAAATATCGGCCCTGTTTGCATACACACAATACGTCTACAGTCGCACTGTTAGTAGAGATTTGCAGTGTTTTGAGTAGGGCCCTTCAGTCAGGTTTCAGTCAAATGTAACAAGGGGCACAGTGTACCACATGGAGGATAGAGAGAAGGCGATCGATCGCTACGTACTAGCTTAAGTGTAAGCAGTAAGCATTAGCCCGCCTGACCCTGAAAAGTATAATTTATAGTTCATTTTCGAGCCAACAGTCGCGCTGTCGTCGGTAAGTAGTATCTGTGAAGTTAGCTGTTTATGAGTACAAGTAGATGAAGTTAGTTGAATTATGTACAAATTTTCTTCGCGGCATTGGTAATTTCAAATTAGCCTGCTTTTATTGAGACAACTTAGCGATCGCAGCGTCTCACTTATTTTGTCCTTATTGCTGGGACACTATTTTCTACAGCGATCGTTCTCCTTCTCTCTAACCTCCATGGTGTATCATAAGGAATACCTCTGTATTACACGTCTTTGACGTCTGATGACAGCTATAAGATGGCGGCATAAGAAACTAATAAATAGACGTCAAACCAAAGACCAATAAGAAAATAGCAGAGATACTCCTTATGTTTACACTGTGCTCCTTGTTACACTGCTCTACTCTTCATCATCATCTCATCATATCAGCCGTACGGCACCCACTGGGTATAAGTTATGATACAATTAGTTGTACTTGAAACCCCTCAGCCACCCCCAGCTTGCCACTTATTTTCTCACACTTTAACATCACATGGGCTCGAGTCATTTGTCAGAACTTACACCTATCAAAAAAATTTAATACGTATTGTAATTAATATATTAATTGAACAAAGTAACACGAAACACAGTTGCGATAGCGGCCGAAGTGTCCATTAATATATATTAACAATCCTAGTATTAATCTGTGGATAATGTTGTTGGTTGTACAATAAGTATAATTGTAAGTCTTCACTTAACATATATTGTACAACTGTTTGTAATCCCTAATTAAATAAAATAAAAGTTATTACCCCATCAGGCGGATCCTTTTCTCGAGGTGGGAAGCGTCCGTACATTCTTTCGCAAATGGCGCACAGACCGCACCATGTTCGGAATTTCAACGTGTTCTCATAAGACTGATGAAAAAAATAAAATAAAGTTAATATTGGTAGGTAGTAACATGTGATAAGTAAAAAGTACAGGTTCCAATAATACCTAAATTATAATTATCCTATAGAAATAGGTAATATCAGAAAAGGCAGTTCGACTTTTACCAGGGTGAGGCTAATACCTAGGTACTATAACCGGAATCGGTGTCAATACGTACATACTAGGGAGGAAGGATACAGCTGACTACCACATAACTACATCGATATGAATTAAAATTACTTTTGAATTCCAGGTTTTCACTTGCAAAATATAATTACTTTTTGGTCATGATAAACCTAAAACTAAATTTAACTTTAGTCTATCCGTTTCATTCTGTATGGGGAATTGGGGAATGACAAGGATACACTGTTGTTAAAGGACATTGTTCAGCGTCCATACATAGTTAGCCTAAGAACCAACAATCATGAAATATTATTTTCTAAGTTCAAAATCGTAAGTAAATGACTGTAAAAACAAAGATTATTGACGGACACTTCTGAGAACTTAAATTATTAGGAAAATTAATTTTTTTTGAGGTTATGTTTAATATCAATGAAACATAGGTCCACCCCTGAATTTAGTATAAACTCAGTATTAAGTGAATTAATATTACAACTAATTCATTTTATTCGGTGTGATTTTAAAGAATAACTATTAGGTTTTAAACTTGGTTAGGTAGGAATCATGAATAAACTAAAAACTGTAGTTTTGCTTCTTATTTATTGACTATTTTTCACATAATTGTATCATATTGTTTATTGTATTTATTTGTATATCACATATTGTGTAAATATGCAGCGTGAATGTGTATCATTTGTTCTTGAATAATTTGGCAGTATGATCCTCTCAGGCTGTTGTGGCACAGGTTCACTAGCACTTGGTAATAAGGGCTCTGCTCTTTGGTAACATCGATGGCATATTAGATAGCCGAAATAGTTAAATTAAAGGAAAAACAATCGCAAATAAACACACACAACCGGTAATCCGAAACGAGAACGCACCACAGGAACGCACTTTCCGGTATATAATACTACTCTTTGGAATGCACGAATGCCACAGATTACTACGAATGCAAACTGCATGCACCACAACCACAGAGTAACAGTTTTATGCCGGCCCTTCACTTGACAACTTTTTGTCCTTGTCATGCTTAATAAGGAATGAAAAGGACAGACTGATGTCATGTTTTAAAATAGCAAATACGAATAGCCAAGTGAAGTGCCGGCATTAGGAAGAAAGAGTGTTTTGTTTGCAGCGCTGCCATAGATTATACACATAAAATGATATTTATTGTCTCAGATTATTTTTTAACTTTTTAATTTAGCTTACTTAACTGGAAGTGTCCGTCACAATCTAAATACTGATAATTATCGCAAAAAATATACTAAGAATTATCATAAATGCCAAATTGGTGTTGGTTCTTAGGCCAACTTTAACATTATCCTTTAAGTTTAGGTATTAACAATATCATTATGAAAGAAACTTGTGCAGTAAACGTTTTTATATGTAAAATTGCTACTGACTGCGCAGGCTTTGTTGTCTCTGGTTTATGATCAACATGTCTGCCCGGATCTATTTCTATTCTTACTTCTCCATTGTCGCCGTTGCCACCTATAGGTTTCTTGTACCCAGTGTCGAGTAAGGTGAGCTTGATGTCGTCCGGTATGCTCTCCTCTTCGACGTAACCTTCCCACTCCATCGTACTCCTGAACTGATCTGCTTGTGCCGTGCTGAGGATACCACCCATCATCAGCATTAAACCTTCTTCTATGTCCTGTAAGAAAGACCTTAAAAAGGAAATGGTATTTGCCAATTGTATGCATTTTATCTGCACCAAAGACAAAACTCCAGCATTTCCAACAATTAGCCTAGATACAAGGAAATCACTGTAAGTTGTTTTTGGGGTACCGGAGTATCGAATTTAAATACCTACGTATATTTATTACCATGACTCTGACACAAATGGTCGTATGCGTCATACGAACCTTTGGATTTTATGCCTAGGACCTTAAAGTAGGCGACACTGTATTAAAAACCAGTGTACATATCAATTAAAACGATTGCCATAATTTTCTTCTTCGGAAACTGAAGAGACAGGATATCAACACAAATCGCTATATTATGCAACTAGCATGGATGAGCTTTATTATCAACCCCAGAAAGTAAATAACCGGTACCCTTCTAAATGGGTATTTTTCTTAGTTGGTCTAAAGCACTGATTCTTAACCGGTGGTCCGCGGACAGTTATTGGTCCCTGGAAGAATTCGAAGTGGTCCGCGAAGCCATTCCAAAAATTATCACATAAGTAACGATGCAAGAGCACCCCAGCAGAAGTCATAAACAGGCATTTGACCTATATTTTGATTTAATTTTTTACTTCTAGAGAAATGGTCCGTCATCACTAAAGGGAAGAACCACTGATCTAAAGCTATTCTATGTCGATTTTGTGGCTACAAAAGTTATGTAAAGGAGGAAAATTATTATTAAATCGCCGCTAGGTACGTTACCTTGATAGGCATTCGGTATCCTCGCTCCCTGAACTTCCTCAATACTGTCAGGTAGAGTAACTGCTTCGATTTCTTTATCGTTACGAACCTCGCTGCGTAGTTCATCGGAGTTAGAGCTGTAAAATAAAAAAAAGCGTCGTCATTTTTGGAGCATTAACCTATACCTACTAGATTCACTCCATTATTCCTTGCGGTGTTGGTAGAGTATTAAAACTGCAGCTTGAGACTACAAAATGTATAAACCTACGAGTGAACAGGCATTGGTTGGAACAATATTGTTAGGTTGGCAGCCCACCGTTTAAAATAGTTTTCGAGTATGCCCTGTCACTTGAAAGATTTACTGTCTGCTCTTTAAAAAAAGTTAGCAGGAAACAAACAATTTTTTCCACTTTTCTAATGAGGTCAGTAAAGGTTAAGTGGCCACCAATCGTCAAAAGGGTTTGTTCAGATACGACTCACTCTCTAATGCCCGTATTACAGAATAACAACTAAGTGTCGATCTTTACTTGAGCACAGTTAGAAAGGGATAGCGGTATGTGCTATATATCCCTTTCTAAGTATGCTCAAGACTAGATCAATCACTGAGAATCTTACTATAATACGGGCCTTAGACAGTCATGTCAATAGGCAGCGAAAACTGGTGTTTTGCCGTGAGAACACGCGCGGAGTGTGCAGCCAGTGGCCGAGGCTCATGGCTGGCAGTCTGGCACCTCAACAATGACTCACTCTGTAAAGCAGCCGTGTCAATAGGCAGCGAGAACTGTGCGATTTGCCTTGAGAACACACGCGGGGTGTGCAGCCAGTCGCCGAGGCTCATGGCTGGCAGTCTGGCACCTCAACAATGACTCACTCTGTAAAGCAGCCGTGTCAATAGGCAGCGAGAACTGTGCGTTTTACTGTGAGAACACACGCGGGGTGTGCAGCCAGTCACCGAGGCTCATGGCTGGCAGTCTGGCACCTCAACAATGACTCACTCTGTAAAGCAGCCGTGTCAATAGGCAGCGAGAACTGTGCGTTTTACTGTGAGAACACACGCGGGGTGTGCAGCCAGTCGCCGAGGCTCATGGCTGGCAGTCTGGCACCTCAACAATGACTCACTCTGTAAAGCAGCCGTGTCAATAGGCAGCGAGAACTGTGCGTTTTACTGTGAGAACACACGCGGGGTGTGCAGCCAGTCGCCGAGGCTCATGGCTGGCAGTCTGGCACCTCAACAATGACTCACTCTGTAAAGCAGCCGTGTCAATAGGCAGCGAGAACTGTGCGTTTTGTCGTGAGAAGACGCGCGGTGTATGCAGCCAGTCGCCGAGGCTCATGGCTGGCACCTGCAGTTCGCGAAGTAGCGCTTGCATTTCGCGCCCGTGCGGCCTATCGGGGCGGGTGCGCAAAGCTTCCTCCAATACGTAACGCCTCTAAAAAGAAAAACCGATGAGAAACAACTACATGGTACCTATATACCTATTTATTTAATAGCTATACTAACTGGTTAACGTAAAAATAGACATTCAGATAACCAAGCACTCGAGTTTTTGACAGCTTCTTGAAAAAGGTGTAGTAATCGGCAAATTTTGTATGGAAGAACTAGTTTTCATAGAAACTTTGGCGATACTATACGTTACGGAGACGTATGTACGTTCTTATTAAATCAAGAAGAAATACTTATGTAAACTTGCTTGTACGTAAGTAACAACAACTTAAAGGTACTTAGATGCTGTTTTTTATTGTCCCGTCTTCTTTCCGCATCCCAGACATGTCCATAAACCCGTTAATTTCTACGGAACCACTAGTTTCCACCAATAGTTAGATTTAAATTTAAAGGAAAATTTATGTAATTATTTGCTTCAAGCAGAGCGAGTAAGCGACAAGTAAATATATTACACAAACATCATGACAATCGAAGAATTTTTATCAAACAAACTATACTGACTGAACGCATAGTTTTTCAGATCATCAAGAACAGATAGACGTGGCAGGCGCGGCGGGGAACTTTGTTTAATAATATGTAGTGAATTATCATAAGGGAGAGCTTAAACCTTAGTATCGAACTCCGTTTCAATCGCCTCCTCATCCACTTCTCTGTGCAGGTACTTCAGCATCTCGTCGTCTAGGAAGGAATCAGTCTTCCTGGCGCCTCCGCCGGCTACCTTGATGACCGGTAGGGTGATGACGTCATCATCCGGGACCACTGCGATGGACCCACGAGAGCTGGGGTTGTGGGAGTCGGTGCCGATACCGGCGATCTGGGGGCAATATGTCATTTTAATTTAATGGATCTATGTAGACGCTATGTTAATACAAAAGTATGGTGTTCTATATCGTGCCGGTGGAATAGGGGTACCATATTTTTCTTCTTTACAGCATCCCAATGCCCAATCGCACTGGGGCTATTTAGAGGTAAGTGAGTATTCTAAATGTGAGGACTTCCAATAATGGAATTTAAGTTAAAACAAAAGGTTACAGATTAATAAATGTGGATGACAGTTAATTATTTTTGGTCCATTTTTTTACCTCCTCTAATCTGATTTGTAAAGGGAATGTATTGGGTACATGATATTAAATCATTTTAATGATTATTGCAATTATAATTTATAGTTTTTTTTTGTAAACTATAACTGAAATAATTAATAAAATGATTCAATATCAAGTACTCAATTCACATTAATACAAAAAAAGTGGACCGCAAAATTTACTGAAGAACTGAGAAAGCATTATTGTAGAATATCAACTTCACTATCATATCGACTTTTTTAATAAGCGGGATCGCTACCAAGTTGCACACACTGTTGCAACAAGTTCCCAAGGTACATGGTAGCAAAACTGCTAATAACAAAAATAATGAATCATCAACGGGCATGTGGGTTTTAAAGGAGACTACCAATAAGTCACACACAAACACACACACACCCACACACACACACCCACACACACACACACACACAAACACACACACACACATACCTTTTTTTGACCCGGAGTAATGCGTTACGCATACCCTGCCGCTAGGCACCGTGGTTATATGAGACTCCTCCCCGCACCTCCCGCCCACCCACTCAGCCAACCTTAGTGCTGGCTCAGTGGCTGCTCGGGATGGAGGGGGGGTCCTTACTGGGAATCAACTACACACACACACCTGTGTCTCGGGATCCTGCTGCGATTGCGCCGCAAGTCCAGCAGAGGTGAGGCGGTCGCTGCCTTGTCGACCCTTGCGGCGTCGTTTGCCGCGTCTCCTACCTTCGCCACCTTGAATAATTACACATTCAAGTCAAGTCAGAACCATAAGACTTCGCGGATATGTGACGAAATATCTATTAGTCATATTTTTATTTTTTAAGCATTTAACTGCTAGATATTTAAATCTAAAGAAAAATTTATTAAAAAAAATCCACGCGGGCCAAGAAGCAGACAGGATCACAGGACTCGAATCCGCACCCTTCGCTATCCGGGCGAATGCACTGACCATTATGATACCGCGGCCCTGATGGCCGTGTTTTGCAATTTTAAATCCGTGCATCCAATGAAGTTGAAATCGGATCCTAAACTGGGGGTCATGGCTTATTAAAATTGATTCTTTCTTGGCACACAGAAAGTAAAACATCATATGAACAATAAAAATCCCAATCACCAGTGAATCATGTCAAGTAAGGTAAAACCCGGGTTGGCGAAACTTAACAGTTGAGTAAGTTGTGTGTTGTGTAGAGTAGGTAGGTACTGTAACTCCCGTTGCGTTACTGCCTCTTTGCTTGTGTAAACCTTCGTTCATGTAATGCCTACGGCTGGCAGTTATGTACGGTCGCGGTCAGAAAATGTTTACATTGAAATTAGATTCTATATCACACTTTTTTCACTAAAGTCCAAAATGCCATATCAAATAACATATTACATTTCAAAAGTTATTATGCAAAATGACGGATCGAGAATAACAAAAAGAATTATAGTAAATATTACTTTTTGATATTGAAACTCATTTCTTTATTTGTTGGAATGACATTTATAAAAAATGATTGTTTGCACATTGTTTGGACAAGAGCAAAACTTTACGAAAAAAATTTCATAACGAAATAAAATGGCAAGTACCCACTAAAAACCCAACAGTGCTCCCTCGCCTGCCGGAACGGGTTTCGTGGGATCCTAGTGACTCTCCACGTTAGTAGGGTAGTCCCTACCCCAGCAGTAGAGTCTTCAATGTGCTGCAAATACTATTAAATTACATTCATAGTTATCGCACCTCCGTCATCACCGTTGACCATGAGCGATTCTCCTTCATCATTTACGTCATTTTCAGCCTTAGATCGCTGTGAAACTGGCGTCTCTGTTTTATTCTGATTGTTCTTTTTTATCGCCTTGCCCAAATTAAGCGCCTTCAGTTGCGTCTGAAATTAAAAAAAACCATTAACATTTCTTAGAATCACAATTGGGAATTGAATGGGCACAAAAAACCTTATGCTTTTATTCTAGAATTTTTCATCTACGCGGAGAGTATATATTGGTGAAGAATTTGGCACCACTTTAAAGCTATAATGACCTGAATTGTTTTTTTTTTTATAATAGAAAGAATCTTTCACTAGTGGGACTCAAGCAATTCTCGCCTCCAACTATTTGAAGTACTAGCACCTCTAGTTTTTTAAAAAACGCTTCACTGTCGTGTACTAGCTGTTTCTGCTTTTTCCTAATTTCAGCCGGTGTCGCAAAGGGTAGTTTCATCCTCTTTCTTTGACCAGTCGGACCTAATGACGTCATCGACATAACTATATTCGAACCGGTCCTCTTTCTCGTCCTTGGAGCGTAGCTAATGACAATCCTCGTGAGATGCATCAGGCTACAATTGCAAGCTGAGGGCGGCACTATCGGGGGAACGTTCAAAGGTCTCCGCCTAATCTTCCTAGGCTTCACAGCACCTAAGTTATCCCCCGTCACAAAGAAACTCTTTTCCTTATTCTTTTTAATTTTGGGTTTGCTATCCTTCTTGATCGTCAAGAGTTGCGTTTTCGATATTAAGAACGGTAACATGTTTCTGTCACTTTGTCACGGAAATTACATAAACAACTGTGTTACGGTTCACAGTTAAGTGACTAATATTAACGCTTTGACGCCATGCATAACGTTTATCGATTAATAATACCTACGTGTGTAAACAGTTCCTTATCTGGCGGTTGTAAGCGGTCCAGTAATTACTAATCGGGGTCGTTTCACTCAACAATATCGATAGTGTGTGAGACTATACTTCATATTGTTACAGAGGTTGAATAAGTATATTAATGACGGTGCTTCTTGCGACTTTCAAAGTCCCCTGACGCGTCTGTTTGTATGTATGTTCACGAATATTTCAAAAACTACTGAACGGATTTTTAATGCAGTTTCCATTTTCAGTTACATTATTTTCACGGAACTCAAGACTGAGGGCCACCAGTAGAAAACTAAATTACCTTCTTAGGCGCCCTAACAGTCAAAGTGTCCTTGACCGGCTGCGTTCTCTGGCTCAAAACTAGGGGCGACGCCAAAGGTGGAAGCTGCTCGCACTGGCCTTTAGCAAGGCGGTTGTGTGCGCCCTCCGATAGATTCAACGAGGGTAGCGTAGACCTGTCGTTCGTGGCACTGGTCGTCTGGCCAGCCGTCATGTCAGACGTGGCATGGTAGTAAAGAGTTTCCTTAAAAGTAAAAAGGGCTATTAATAAATTTATCCATAACAATGCAATTCGCAATGGACCAATAATATGGTCCATGCCCAAAGTAAACACTGTAAGGCTTCTGATGCGATACTAGAGTACGGTAGAAATACATCCTTACTAATGAAACTTCTGTTGTATAAAATTAAAATTTATTTTTTCTCTATTAATATTGTGTGTTGTTTAATAAGTTTACATTTATAGCAAATACATATAAACAGCCATGAATGATGTACAAATGAACCCAGGATTTCCGATTTCAGAGTGTAAGGCGATACCTCGAAAAGCGGTGTACTTACATACCACTCCACCATAGAAGTCGTGGCGGTAAACAAAACTATATTCTACTAGAGGTCGCCCGAGACTTCGTCTGCGTTAACTTAGTTTCTTGAAAATCCATCTGGAACCTAACATTTTTTTGGGATAAAAGTAGCCTATGTGTTATTCTAGGGTGTCAGCTAACTCCATACCAAATTTTATTAAAATCGCTCCAGCCGTTTAGACGTGAAGAAGTAACAAACATACTCACATACTCACACACTCACAAACTTTCGCCTTTATAATATTAGTGTGATTATTAAGGACAATTCTACTGGAAAAAAAGTTGTAAGATCTAAGAAATGCAAATTTCTTTTAGAATACCTTTAGCAGCCTAAGAAATACCAGAAGATATTCGATACGGCCATTGACGTCTCAGTAGTTTAATTGGTTAGTGCGTACGCCCAGATTGCGGAAGGTTTAGTTCGCTTCGGAAGATTCGAATCCCTTGCCATGTTTGGACCACCGAGTGAAATTTTTCCTATTAAAATTTTCCTTAAATTTATAAATTTATTAGTTAAATGGTTAAAATTGAAAATATTAGTCATATCCAACCTGGCTGTGACTCCTTCGCAAGTCCAGAACGATAGCCGTCCTCTGATGCGGTTGGTCGGGAGTGAGGCACCTCCGAGAGCCCCTGGATTTACCACTGGCCAGAGTGGGCGCGGGAGTATGGGGCCTGGAGTCAGTCTCCGTGTACCTGATTTGGACAATAATTTGGGTAGTAGACGTGTCTTCATCATCAGCCTATCAATGTCCCCACTGCTGTAGCACTGTAGGGCAGGCGCCCTATGGATACGATAGGGAGTTTAGACCATGACCCACCACGCGGGTCCAATTCGTATTAGTGGGTGCTAACACTGAGGAAGCAGCCGGGATCAACTGCTTAACGTGCCCTCCGAAACACGGAGGAACTCGAGATAGTAAATTTTTAGTCACCCATCCCATTACCGATCACTGCGAAAGTTGCTTAACTGCAACGATCGCAGCTGAACGCGCTAACTACTTGTGACATCGAGCTCCATCAGAGTCTTACTTTCAGTATAATACTGAACAGTTATTAGTTCCTACTATACATATAGGTATACAAACACTACACCCCGGAAAATTTCCTGAGCATAGACCATAAACGTTTACTGCGAAGTTTATTTGTCTGTGATTCTGCTCAAAAAGTTTGCCGCCACCTATAGCAGAAGTGATGCAACTGCCATGAGGCAGGTGTGCGTGTGCATGCAAGTTTTCCTTTATTTAGTACCGTCGAGACCCGTAACTTCACCTGTGCCACCAATCTTCGCCTGTTATCGAACTAATTCATGTAGCCGTTCCAATATTACCGTAGGCTTCGCAGAAAATTACTAAATATCAACTGTTTTTAAGTTATGGCAACATTTTGCTAGTATTTAAGACTAACTTCACGTTGTTGGTGACCAGTGCACTTTTTTCACAAGACAAACAACACGTTTTTTTTTCGTTTGTGTTTGAACTTCAGTTTTAGACAGTGATACATAAAAGGTAATTATAAACTTTTTATTTAATTGTTATCTTTAATTAATACTCTTTCAAATGATATTATAATTTTCTATATAGTCTACGTTTTAAAGTGTTAATTCAATAAAATGCTATTGTGGTGACAGAAGCAGCCATCTTGTTGCCAAACTTCGTCTACTCTAGGGTTGTCAATCCTTATATTATATGTCATAAACTATGTGCTAAATTATCGATATAGGATCAGTGCATTCGCCCGGATAGCGAAGGGTGCGGGTTCGAGTCCTGTCTGCTGCCTGATCCGCGTGGAATTGTTTCTAGTAAACTTTTCTTATGATTTAAATAACATAGTTTATTCAGATTAATAGGTTACTTTATTTTTTCTCTATTATTTATTTTGTCTGTTGTGACCCACTAGGTCAGATCATCTAGGTAATTGAACTGGGTATTGAACTTATCGGCCAACAATAATGCCAAAAATATCAGAAATGAAGACACGCAAAAAAAGGGCATATACTACAAAACATTCTCCAGCTATATTAGAATTGGCAGTGGAAGCAATAAAAAAAAAGACAATGTCCTCGTACGCCGCCGAAAAAGCATTTGGCATACCACGTCGAACTTTATTGGATAAGCTTCAGAATAAACATCCTAAAAGTCCAGGACGCCCGACTCGATTGACTGATGAGGAAGAAGCTGATATAATTAAAGTGTTAATTGCAAGCGCCGAATATGGCAGCCCTTTGACTCTTCTGGATTTGCGAGTTGTGGTACACAGGTAATGTTTTTAACTAATTTGTAGCTAGATATTTTCGAACATAAGCTTCACAAAATTATTGATCTCTACGAATTCTATTCTAAAATTAAATAAATTGTTTTTTTTTTCAGATACTTGGCAAATAATGGAAGGCTTTCCATTTTTAATAATAAATTACCTGGAAAGAAGTGGGCATACTCACTGGTAAAAAGAAATAAATCTAAATTAACGTACAGAGTGATCCAAAATATAAAAAGGAGCCGAGCAGAAAAAACTGTTGTTGAAATGGAGGAATACTTCAAAAATCTGCAGTCATCACTGAAAGATGTCCCTAATGAGAATATTTTAAACTATGACGAGACAAATCTCACAGATAATCCTGGTGCTCAAAAATGTTTGTTCAAAAGAGGAGTCAAGTATCCTGAAAGAGTATTAAATTATACAAAAGGGGCCATATCATTGATGTTCGCAATAACGGCAGGAGGAGAATGTCTTCCTCCATATGTCGTGTATAAAGCAGAACACTTATATACACAATGGACACTAAATGGACCTTTAGGATCCAGATTCAACCGATCTAAATCCGGATGGTTTGATAGTCTTTTATTCGAAGATTGGTTTGAAAGTATCATTTTACCGTGGGCGAAAAAGAAAACTGGTACTAAAGTTTTAATTGGAGATAATCTCGCGTCCCACATAAATTACAAAATTGTTACATACTGTGAAGAAAATAATATACGTTTTGTATTTTTACCACCCAATTCGTCACATTTGACGCAACCCTTGGACGTGTGCTATTATGGCCCATTAAAAAAGCTTTGGCGAGAAATTCTATTAAACTATAAGGTAAAGAACCCGAGAGAAGCAACTATTCACAAGGGACATTTCCCAGATCTACTAAAAATCCTAATGAATCAACTGAACGAGAAAAGTCATAACATAATCAGTGCTTTTAGGAGCACTGGTATTGTACCATTCAATCCCGATAAAGTGATTAGTAAACTACCAGACTCAAAACAGTCAAAGATGCCATATTCTATTGACATTGCATTACTAGATTGGTTAAAAGAGACACGCACAGCAGATCCTAATAAAAAAGTACGAAGTAAAAAAATAAATGTTCCACCGGGTAAATCAGTCTGTGCAGGCGACTTTGAAGATTTATCAAATCAAGTGAAGAAAAACAAAAAAAAGGTAAAAACCGCCAAAAATACTAAAAGAATGGACAACATGGAACAATCTGGTTCATTATTGCAGTCAAAGTCACTGCTGAATCCAAAAAGTCCAGAAAGTCTGGTAAACTTGTGTATTAGAAGTGTCAATGCTTACTTTATTCAATTTGAGCAAATACCTGAGGCATCCTCTTCAGAAATGTTAAAAGTTCTTAGTTTGGATAAAATTTCTAAGAGTGACCAAGCCAACATGCCATTTATTAATGAAGTACCAGAATGCCTACAACCAACCAACAAAACAAAAATCACAATTACTTCTGATGTCATTGTCCAAGCAGGAACGTCTCGAAGAATTCAGCAGAAGAACCCAGTAAACACCAACTTTAAAATGAAAGGAGTAAGTAAAATAACGCGATCTGCCTTACACATGCAATTGCTTCCAATTAAAAAAGAAAAAGTAGCTAAAAGAAAAGTTCTAGAAGAAATAGCACAAAAAACAAAAGGAAATTTTACCGATACAATTGATAAGAAACAAAACAATGAGACTAGAAAAAGAAAAATAAAAAGTAGGGAAACCAATAAATCGAAAAAGAAGGGCCATAAACAAAAATCTATCAAACAAAAAAAGAAGAGACCCGTTAGCGAATCAAGCTCGGCAACTGACGTTGACATGTCTATATCTGATACGGACGATTCTGAATATGAAACGATAGATGAATTCATCACGCTTTGCCAACAAGAAGAACAAGAAAACTTAGAACCAATACCCTGTGGAATATCTGACATTGAGAATTTCACAGCAAATTGTAATAAATTAAATACAGATTCTTGGATTTTGGCTAAATTTGTAACCAAAAAGAGCATTAAGTATTACGTAGGAAAAGTAATCTCAATGAAAGATAACGTTCCCGAGGTGAAATTTGTCAGAAAAGTAAAGGAATCAAAATGTGATAGGGGATTGATGTTTACTTACCCAACAATAGATGATATTTGTACGATGAAGCATTTAGATGATATTGTGATGGTATTGCCTGAACCAAACATCTGTCGGCGCGGTCAAATTATATTTAACATTAATTTGAGTCGTTACAATGTCCAGTAATTTGTTTAATTATGTTTATGAATATTTTGTGTGTCTTTGGATGACTGGTTTGAGACTGATTTAATGATTAAGGCTGATGTTTTAGTAAAAAGTTAACTTTAGAGTTGTAAGTTATTTCTGTGTGGGTACTTTTTGATAAAGTTTATTACTAGTTTTTATGAATATTTTTTGTCTCTGGATGACACGTTTGAGACTGATTTAATGATTAAGACTGATGTCATAGTAAAAAGTTAACTTTAGAGTTGTAAGTTATTTCTGTGTGGGTACTTTTTGATAAAGTTTATTACTAGTTTTTATGAATATTTTTTGAGACTGATTGAATGACTCGTTTGAGACTGATTTAATGATTAAGGCAAATGTTATAGTAAATAGTTGACTTTCGTGTTTTCTGTGTAGGTACCTTTTGAAAAAGTTTATTACTCTGTATAGCTAGAAGCTTATGTCATTGACCTAATCTAATTTCATACCTAACTACCCATGTAAGAATCATGAAAGTGAATTTAAGAATTATAAGTTAAATATTGCTACTCAGTTCCTGTTTCAACTAAATGTTTTATTTCACTATTTAGTTATAATGTAAGGAATTATACTTGTTTTATTTCTTACTGTTTTAGTGGAATCAAAAATGATCCTCAAAAAAAAAATACCTCACCGTAAGAAATAGGAAGATTTTACAATATAATTATTACTTTAACAAAATATTTAATTTTGTATTTGTTTACCCTTTAAATAAAGAATGAATAAACTGCTTCTTTTCTGAGAAACCTTTACCCCTTCCAAACCCACTTAGATGGTACTAAGATAAATTAACATAAATATTGACAACCCTAGCTGCATTATAGAAGATGTATAAGATCAACTTCAGACTGTTGCTTAACTTCGCCTACAACACATTTTTTTAAAATTAAGACTCTATTACACTTTAGTTAAAGTTCATAATCATCTGTCATACTTTAAACTGATGACACTTTATGTACCAAGTAGTATTTCTGAACTAATTCATAATATTTCGATAGGACAAGACGCAGGCGAAGTTAGGGAAAAACACCAAAACTTCGCCTTTCACCTTTGAGAGCGTTTTTTGGGCAATCAAGTAACTAAATTGAAAGAGCATATGATGTAAAACGATTGCTAGAGATAAATGAAATCTTTTATTAATCGTCAGGATTCTAAATTATTCTAAATTTGACAGATAAGTTCATAAAAGTGATAAAACCCAGGCGAAGTTACGGGTTTCGACGGTATGCGTTAACATTCGATCCAATAGAAAAATAGGCCATTATTGTCTACCTATGGTGCGTGGTTCGAACAGCGATTTATTAAGGCAAACGCGCACTAACAAAAAGATGAACAAAACAAACCATTTTTTATGAAATCCTATGAAACCATGCTCTTTCCGCACCGAATCCTCGGAATCTGGAAGAACTCCAGAAATACTAGATGAATTTCGACGACGCTCTCAGATTTGGGTGCCAATACGATATGTGCAACGTTGACGTCGATTCCGTTCACGCGTTCGGATTGGATAAGTGTGCATTTACCTTAAAAGTTGACCTAGACAGAGAATCAAGAGCTTACTCGTAAACAAATAAAAAAGAACTACTAGTTAACTAACCTTCTAAACATGTCCTCAGTAACGATATCGTGAGGTGTTTTATTTTTTTCTGCACCATCTTGAAACTTTGATAAATCTTCGTTAATATAATGTGCTTTTCCTTCATATAGCTGAAACAAATAAAGCAAGTTATTAATGGGTTTGTTTCTCCTCATGAAACGAAATTAAATAACGTACCAACTAACACACAAGCTGATTAGACAGGTCTTGTTCAGCTAAGCTGTCGCTCACATAACAGATATTTAATGGCTCTTGTATTCTTTTTCAGTGGTATAACAGTCACATAGTCAGGATAGTAGCCGCACAATGGTACTCAATAATCGTTTAAGATGTACAAGTGTGTGTGATAGTTCTATTGAACAGGCATTTGATATAGAATTAAAATATCTGTTGTAACATCATTAGACTTAGATGTCACCTGCTAAGGTTAATGGTCTTCAGGGGAGTCAAAAACCTGTCTTGTAACACTTTAAGAAGTATAGGTAAGTCATGTATCAGACTTTATTAATCTACAGTACTATTAGCAACCCGCCTTTATAAGTAACACTAGATCCTACTGTAGCGCACTATACCTTCTCCATACCACTAAAAGTGGTACACTGTTACATTTTCTTACAATATATAACTAAATACTGTAGTAGAGTTTTATACTTAGTTATTATACTGATAAAAGAATTTACTTAAGACCATAGAGAAAAATGGGTAATAACACTAAGCAGGGGCGTCTTTCCCATAGGAGCGCTGGGTGCGGACGCCCCCGGGCGCCGAGCCCTTAGGGGGCGCCAGCCGGGCCGGGCGATCAACATCTGAATTAATCTGGTGGTAGATAGTACCCAACTACCTTACCCAACTACAATTTTACAAATACATATTACTATAAATAAATATTAAATAAACAAAACGAAAACATACGATTTAAGTACATACAGTAAGTTTTAATTATTGTTTACGTTTTTCTAGTCAACTCGGTCGAACTATAATACATACACATATATTTAAAAAATTCTCAAGTCAAATTTTTGAAAAAGGGTTTGTATTGTTGGCTTTCGCACCCGGGCGCCGCATATGGTTAAGACGCCCCTGACACTAAGCAAGGTATCGTATGAATTCTTTTTTACCCAGCTGTCCTTGACACGCTTGACAAACTCCTTGGCTTCGGTATCGGCAGGATGGTTGCACAGCACGGAGCACGAGTGGTGGAAGGGGTTGTACAAGCCAGCGTAGGGCCGCAGCATAAAAGGTGCCGGGGTCACTTCGCATCGTAACTCCACGTTGTTCTAAAAAATAACAGTACAAAGTGTATAAAAACACTTAAGATAACCTTTCACATAATTATTACTAGCCCTAACCGGTGTTGGTAATGAGAAGACTTCTCGTTATCGACACCTAGACCGCAAACCCGTTCTAGATTAGATTTTTTTTCATGTTGGGAAACATGCGTATGCCCCGCCTGGTGATAAGCGGCCACCATAGTCCATAGGCGTTTTTGCGATACCAAAAATATCACTCGTATGTTGCCTTTATTTATACCTGACCCAATCCCCTATCTTATTGAGCCCTGAAACCCTACTCACTGACAGAAACACAACACCACTAAAAGATTTATTTTTCTGTAAGGGTTTACTTACACTTTGGGCAAGTGCCCAGGGCCCCGCGATCGATAGTGGGCCCCCGTCAGATCAAATACAAAATCCCTAGTTCCTGTTAAATCACCAAACGGAAGTCATAGGGGCCTAATATGCCCAGGGCCTCCAATAGGTCAAAGACGGCACTGCGGGCGCTCCGATTCGAGCGGAAAATCGACTATGCCCTAATGTATTTTACTGTAAGACTTGTATGGAAATATGAACCTATACCATAAAGATAGAAGATCCAGTGAAATAACTCAATTTTTGGTGTTTTTGTCGATTGTTAAGGTTCCTCCCCTGCGTAGGGCATGGCATCAGGGTTTAGAATAGGCATAGGCGATCATGTTACTCTGGTACTCGGATTAACTCGAGTATCGGACTATAGCAGCAAGTCGTTTTGTTTGCTAGTTTTTGCGTAAAAAGAATAAGTGGTTCTATCAACGCAGATGGTGCCCGCATGCAGCACATAATAAATGTGGTGTGCAATACCTCGTCACTTATTAAAATAGAACCAACCGGCGGGACACCCGTCTGTCTAGTAAAAAAATCTTGAGATTTTGAAATAAACCCAGCCGTTAATGTTTAAAAAAAATATACATATAATCTCTCCCAACTTCTTTTGTATCTTGTGTATATTACTGGTATAGCCCTTAATCTAATATGATATCTATTGAAAAAGTGAATATTTTACCTAACTCAATCATGTTGAAACGACTGACTGAACATATTTTGAAGAAATTCGGCATACTGTACGAAATTAAGTAGGTACAATACCTTTTATCCTGCGTGCCAATGTTTCCCTAGAAACGAATTTTTGTAAGGTTTTTTATTTTTTTTAAATTCTTTTTTATTAAAATAATTTCAAAAGACCAACCTTCTGCTTTTCCAGTGGATGTTTAGGCGTTACACTTGCCAGCAAACCGGTGTTGCTTGTTAACCCCATAACAGCATAATTGTCCCTAGACTTAATAATAAATACCTTTCTCTAACCTACTTCTCTTGGAATGTTTACTTGCTAAAGTAGTATCGATTAAACTATCACCTAGTTACGCAAAGATAATAGGGTAAATATCTAACAAAAACTCATAAAAACCTATCAGTAGAAAAATGCTCACCGTACTCAATGAAAAATACTGAAGAAATTGATGGAAAATCTGTCAATATTTTACTGACAGTTCGACGCGATCTTCTAAATTCTTTATTATCTAATTTTTATTATTTTTAAAGCATGTAACTGCTTGATGTTTAAATCTAAAGAAAATATAACTAGAAAAAATTCCACGCGGACCAGGCAGCAGACGGGACTCGAACCCGCACCCTTCGCAATCCGGGCGAATGCACTGACCAATTATGCTACCGCGGCCCTCACGGACCGCGTCGAAATTCTTTCTAGCTATTCTTAAGCTGCAAGGCAGCGCCATCTCGTCGCATTATAGGTAAACCCACAATGTCAAATGAATACTTTTACAAGTATTAAACATTTGAAAGAAGAAATAGCAATTAAAGTTATAATTTTTATTATTTTTAAAGCATGTAACTGCTTGATGTTTAAATCTAAAGAAAATATAACTAGAAAAAATTCCACGCGGACCAGGCAGCAGACGGGACTCGAACCCGCACCCTTCGCAATCCGGGCGAATGCACTGACCAATTATGCTACCGCGGCCCTCACGGACCGCGTCGAAATTCTTTCTAGCTATTCTTAAGCTGCAAGGCAGCGCCATCTCGTCGCATTATAGGTAAACCCACAATGTCAAATGAATACTTTTACAAGTATTAAACATTTGAAAGAAGAAATAGCAATTATAGTTATAATTTTTATTATTTTTAAAGCATGTAACTGCTTGATGTTTAAATCTAAAGAAAATATAACTAGAAAAAATTCCACGCGGACCAGGCAGCAGACGGGACTCGAACCCGCACCCTTCGTAATCCGGGCGAATGCACTGACCAATTATGCTACCGCGGCCCTCACGGACCGCGTCGAAATTCTTTCTAGCTATTCTTAAGCTGCAAGGCAGCGCCATCTCGTCGCATTATAGGTAAACCCACAATGTCAAATGAATACTTTTACAAGTATTAAACATTTGAAAGAAGAAATAGCAATTATAGTTATAATTTTTATTATTTTTAAAGCATGTAACTGCTTGATGTTTAAATCTAAAGAAAATATAACTAGAAAAAATTCCACGCGGACCAGGCAGCAGACGGGACTCGAACCCGCACCCTTCGCAATCCGGGCGAATGCACTGACCAATTATGCTACCGCGGCCCTCACGGACCGCGTCGAAATTCTTTCTAGCTATTCTTAAGCTGCAAGGCAGCGCCATCTCGTCGCATTATGGAATTTTTTCTAGTTATATTTTCTTTAGATTTAAACATCAAGCAGTTACATGCTTTAAAAATAATAAAAATTATAACTATAATTGCTATTTCTTCTTTCAAATGTTTAATACTTGTAAAAGTATTCATTTGACATTGTGGGTTTACCTATAATGCGACGAGATGGCGCTGCCTTGCAGCTTAAGAATAGCTAGAAAGAATTTCGACGCGGTCCGTGAGGGCCGCGGTAGCATAATTGGTCAGTGCATTCGCCCGGATTGCGAAGGGTGCGGGTTCGAGTCCCGTCTGCTGCCTGGTCCGCGTGGAATTTTTTCTAGTTATATTTTCTTTAGATTTAAACATCAAGCAGTTACATGCTTTAAAAATAATAAAAATTATAACTATAATTGCTATTTCTTCTTTCAAATGTTTAATACTTGTAAAAGTATTCATTTGACATTGTGGGTTTACCTATAATGCGACGAGATGGCGCTGCCTTGCAGCTTAAGAATAGCTAGAAAGAATTTCGACGCGGTCCGTGAGGGCCGCGGTAGCATCATTGGTCAGTGCATTCGCCCGGATTGCGAAGGGTGCGGGTTCGAGTCCCGTCTGCTGCCTGGTCCGCGTGGAATTTTTTCTAGTTATATTTTCTTTAGATTTAAACATCAAGCAGTTACATGCTTTAAAAATAATAAAAATTATAACTATAATTGCTATTTCTTCTTTCAAATGTTTAATACTTGTAAAAGTATTCATTTGACATTGTGGGTTTACCTATAATGCGACGAGATGGCGCTGCCTTGCAGCTTAAGAATAGCTAGAAAGAATTTCGACGCGGTCCGTGAGGGCCGCGGTAGCATAATTGGTCAGTGCATTCGCCCGGATTGCGAAGGGTGCGGGTTCGAGTCCCGTCTGCTGCCTGGTCCGCGTGGAATTTTTTCTAGTTATATTTTCTTTAGATTTAAACATCAAGCAGTTACATGCTTTAAAAATAATAAAAATTATAACTATAATTGCTATTTCTTCTTTCAAATGTTTAATACTTGTAAAAGTATTCATTTGACATTGTGGGTTTACCTATAATGCGACGAGATGGCGCTGCCTTGCAGCTTAAGAATAGCTAGAAAGAATTTCGACGCGGTCCGTGAGGGCCACGGTAGCATAATTGGTCAGTGCATTCGCCCGGATTGCGAAGGGTGCGGGTTCGAGTCCCGTCTGCTGCCTGGTCCGCGTGGAATTTTTTCTAGTTATATTTTCTTTAGATTTAAACATCAAGCAGTTACATGCTTTAAAAATAATAAAAATTATAACTATAATTGCTATTTCTTCTTTCAAATGTTTAATACTTGTAAAAGTATTCATTTGACATTGTGGGTTTACCTATAATGCGACGAGATGGCGCTGCCTTGCAGCTTAAGAATAGCTAGAAAGAATTTCGACGCGGTCCGTGAGGGCCGCGGTAGCATAATTGGTCAGTGCATTCGCCCGGATTGCGAAGGGTGCGGGTTCGAGTCCCGTCTGCTGCCTGGTCCGCGTGGAATTTTTTCTAGTTATATTTTCTTTAGATTCTTTATTATCTTCTTGATTTTCATAAACGAATAGTCAAGGAAGTTGGTAATAATCATAATAATAAGCAAATAAGGCTCAGAATAATGTTAAACCTCGATTACACGGGGCTACGCTTGTAGCTTAGCGGCGAATTCGCTTGCAGTTTGTAAACTAGCCCCGTCTCATAGAGGATAATATTTAAAAGTAGGTAGTAAGTATATGGCGGGTAAGTATATGGCGGTTCCTAAATAATAAGTATATTTAAACATTTTTTAAAGATTCATCTCTGTCTCCGTTTTCGATTCCCAGTCGAATCAATGAAAACAATATTTTTGCTACGATTCAATGTTAAAATAATTCATTTTTTAACCGACTTAAAAAAGGAAGAGGTTCTGTGTTCGACTGTATTTTTTTTTTTTATGTATATTTACTGATTTCTCCAAAAAGTAAAAAAATGATATATGGTTCATGATTTAGAAGTCGGGCGGAGTCAAGATTGAACCATTAAATAGATTTTCGTTTCTGATCGGGAATAATACGTCTTTCATCTTGACCCGCCCGACTTCGAAATCTTGAACCAGATATTATTTTACTTTTTAGTTCCATTTTCGATTTTGAAATCGGTTTTATATTTTGTTTAAATTTATTTTATTTTATAACAACAAATGCTACACTTTTTTAATTAAGCTATTATTTACTCACCACGCGATTGTATTTTGTCCAATATTTAAGTACTTACTTAGAGATTACGAATCCATATCGTTACGTAAATATAAGTGGCTTCTTTTCTAGTAAAATTTTATTTAGATTTAAACATCTAGCCGTTAAATAATAAATTTTCTTTGCATGTAAGTAGGTAATACGTCCAATCGTCGTTGCACCTTTAGTGAAACCCCAGTAAATCGTAATAAGTTGATATCAATAATATTAAAAGGCTGTTAAAGACCAATTTACTAAATTATTAATCTGATCCATTGGGTATAGAAATCGTCTCATTTATAGATACATGAAAAATAAATTAACGGATTTTTGCAGAAGAAGAACTGATTAGATTTGTAACTTATTTCGCTTTGCTGGGTTTTCGCACGACGATGCGGTATTCTCACCACTTTCAGTATAAATAGAAACAAAACATGTTTTTTTTCACATATATTATTCAAAAAAATTTACACAAAAGCACTAAGACATCCATTAACCTTATTGCCTAAATAAATGAAATTTTAAACCGACACGCAACCTCTTAATTAAGATATAATTTGTCTCTAAAAATAATACTCATTTCCTCTTTATAAATATCCAAAGTAACTATCATGGCATTACCAACATAACACCTACGAAGCAACATTTTAGAAACTTTTATCTCTACAAATATCTTTAATTTTTTAAGAGTCTATAATAAATTCTATTTCTTACAAAGGGAATTTATAATACAATATAGTGCAGTAGAATTACTGAATGTGTACATTGGGCAAAAATTGCAATTCTTACATTAACAAATGGTATAACCACTTTTATGTAAATACACAGTACTAGTATTATAATTGTTCCAAGAGAATCCTTTCAACACGAATGGATTTGGAAAACAAGCATTTTATTGAATATAAAATGTCATATGATTTATTAATACTATTGAAGTAAAAGCACTTAAATTTTTTGAAAAGGATCCATTCGCGTGAAGTTTGCCATTGTATTGAGTGAATGATTTTCTTTAAACATCTCTGCAAATCAGAACCAACAATATCTTGTTGTGTTGGAATAAATATTTTGTACTTGGTCTAAATTTTTGATTTAATTTGCAGAACTGCTTTTAGGAGAATGTAAGTATTATTTTTTAACAAGTGGGCTACTAAGTATTGCAACAAGAAGACTGCTAATTGTAAAACTTTACCATTCATTTAAAATTTATAAGTATAATACTCTCTGAAATTATATAGATTAAAATAAGAAATTAAAAAAGGTTATAAAAGCAAAGAAAATAAGCACCAGTATATTTTTACATTAAATTAAAAATTCATAATTAGATATTACTATTATGATTAAGTTAATAAACATAATATATTTATGTGTAGAAGATATATTGTACTACTTTGTTATTTAAAGTAGGTATGACTGATACATGCAGTTACTTATACTCTAAGGAATAAGATCGATTATTGCCTTGAAAGAGTAAATTTCCAGCAAATACTGTTTCAGGTCTTAAGTGATCATTGCACCCATATGTTTGTGATATTAGATATAAAAACATATCTAATTTACTAAAATAATTAGCCCTCACTAACAACAGTTTTTGAGTAAATTAGCAGTCATTTGTTTAACAATTACAGTTCTACATACTCATTCACAATCATAACAAATTGAATGTTCAACGATTATGGTTGGCATAACCAACATTTTCATTCCTTAGCTTTGTGTTCAATATTTAATTTTACATTCCTTCAATAAACGAGTAGTTACTAGAATTATTGCATGTTGCCATTTTTAACACTTGAATGGCAATATTTCATTTAATATCAACATTCACCAAGAAACCACAATCTTAATGTTTGATATGTGAATCTAATTACTTCCATAAATAACTGAATAGGTATTGTTAAAATGCTGTATGCAATCTTATAACAGTTTGTAAATGTTACAAATTAAATGTGATAATTTCAAATGTGACTGTAAAACCATTATAGATATAGTAAATTAAAATTTATTGTAAATAATTTAAGGGAAACATTTATATTTCCTTAACCTTATATTAATATACAGAGTAAGAAAGTCACTACAGGTCAATTACATAAAAGGCAAGTCACAGTCCCTACTCTGTTCTATACATATTTAAAAAAAACATTGTTATTATTATAAATTAAAGTGTCATGAACAAAAAGCAACTACACTATAAATTACTTAAAATTGGAAGGTCACATCTGTCTGTAGTCATGTTAATGTTTCTACTAACTAATGTAAACCGGCACCGCGAGTTTCATCATAAAAATAATTTAAAATAAGTATAAAATTACACGAAAACACGTGACATCACGCAATTCTCCACATGTTTCTTTTTAATTATGACTAGTAGTTAAGAAATAAATTTGAGCATGGAAAATAAGCGTACTACATGACCATGCAGCTATAAAAACCGTTATAAAAACTCAAATTAGACAAATACAAATTTACAATATAGTAATCGTCACACATTTTTCTTTGTAGTCAAGGTAAATCTCGTTTCAATTCACTGCTTTGCACACAGCGGGAGCGCACAGATAGTTTGCATACTACGTTCACGAGGCGCACTAGGGGCGCGAGGCGCGCGCCGCCTCCTCCAGCGCGCGCACCTTGAGCTCGCGCTCGCGCTGCTGTCGCAGGAAGTCCTCGTGGTGCGCGGGGTGCAGGAACCCACGCTCGCGCTCCAGCAGCAACTGACGTTGCAGCTGCTCGTGCGCGGCCGCCTGCTGCGCCAGCTGCTCGGCGTAAGGCCGCCCCACCGAGCCCAGCAACTCCGGGTGCAGAGGCCGGTACGGGCCTAGCCCCAGCGCCTCCTGCTGCGCCGCCGCCGCCGCCGCCGCCTGCTGCCCGGGGTGCAGATGCAGGTGCGTGTGCGAGTGCGCGTGGGTGTGCGCGTGCGTGTGCGCGTGGTACTCGGGGTTGATACCCGCCATCTGCAGCCGCACCATCGGGTCGGCGGCTAGTGCGAGCCGCTCGGCCGCCTCCAACTGCGCGGCCGCCACGCCCGGGTGCGGGTGGTGCGGATGATGCGGCCCGGCGCCGGATACGGGCACGTTTGGAGGCCCGCCGCTAGCGCCCGCGGGCGGGATACCCAGCCGTTCAAGCCGCTCGCGCTCCAGCTGCGACAGTGCCGCGGGCCCGTGCCCCGGCGGGTACAATCCGAACTGGACGGGGATGGCGCCCTGCGGCGGCGGTGGCGGCATCCCGTATCTTCTGTGCATCTCCAGCCAATGCGGGTCGAGCCCTCGCGGCCCGACGTTGTTTTTGAGCAGCTCCTCTTTAAGTCTGTCGTTGAGCTCTCGCTCGCGAAGCTCGCGTATCTCTCTGTCCCGTTTCTCTCTCTCCAGGTGCTCCAGTTCGAGTCTCTCTCGAGCGCCCGCGGCGCCGTACATGGAACTGAGTTGGTACTGCAGCATGGGGTCCATGCAATGACGCGGTAAGTTTCCTGGACTGAAGCCGGCGTGAGGACGGGCATATTCGGACAGTTGACGCAGCGCCGGTGTCTCTGGGTATCCAGGCGGTCTCGGAAATCGATCGTACGGGGACGATATCGTCTCTATTGCACCCCTCGAAGGCGGTTTCGTTTCGGGTTTTTCTGGTGTCGCTATCTTTCTGTGCGCCTGTTGCGCGATTTTCTCTCTCTCTTCTCTGTCTCGTTCGGCTTGCTTTCTCAAACGTTCTTCGCGTTTACGTGCTAACTTCGATTCCGGAACCGGTTTGAAAATGAGATCAGTGCGAGTGCAGGAGTTGTAGTCACCGCGATTCCAATGCCTTAGGAATATTGCTGATTGTGATCTATGGCATTCTGTGTCTTCTATTTTCGGTTCAGGACTAGGTCCATGTGGTATATGCGCGGGACTTGGGATTTCTTCCTCTTCAGGCTGAGATTGCGTTTCAAGTTTCAATTCTGTGTTGTCGTCTGCAATCTGTCTTGGCGGGCCACGTAAATGTGGATGGCCATGAGGTAATTGATGTGGGGATCCAGATCGTCCATGGGTAGATTGTAAACCTGCTGCAGCTTGAGCATGTAAGCGCAGACTTTCAATAGAACTTGGTCCTGGTCCAGGTGGTAATCCTAAGCCCATAGGATGGCCCATCGAAGGTGGCTGAATCATTAAATGATTAGGATTTCCGGGTATCATCTTTGGATGATGACGAAGTAGCATTGAGTCTGCTGGTGACAGCCTCTCTGGATGATGTGCTAAATGATGCGAATGATGATGTGTGTGATTATTTGTTACATTAACACTTGAGGAAGAGCTTGTTGTCTGAGATACACTTGCTGACAAATGATGTGGAGAGCTTGAATGTGAGCTGGATTTTTGTTGCGTATTAATTTTATGTTGTATAGATTGCGACGAACTACTCGAAGTCGAATGAGAAATCGACAATGTGTGGTTGGTTCCGCCACCTGCATGGTTGGGCTGTTTTTCTGTACTTGTATGAACCGCACTGTGGTGACTAGTAGAATGATGATGGGTCATTGTAGTTTCGTGGAGTTGATGTCTTTCTGTAGTAGCATTTGGATTTCTTGGATCTTCGGTGCTTTCAGATATTTCTCTTAATGATCTCGTTGTTACGGATGAACTTGTGCTGTGATGTGAACTGAGCATTGTTGTAGATTCTATTGTTGATGGCTTTACAGGATCATGTCTCCCTGGAGTGCTTGAAGCAGGATGCATCGGCGGTATTGGATGAGGTTGTGGTAGAGGTCCATATGGATATGGATATGGCATAGAGTAACCAGGATGAGGGTGAGGATAATAAGGATGCATAGCATGTGCAGCTGCTGCTGCAGAAAGTTGGAATATTGAAGGATGTAATAGCGGGTGGTGAGGATGATGCAAAGGCGATGCAAATGGATGGGGGTGCGGTGGACCCGGTTGTTGTCCTGAATGCATGACTGGGCCAGGAATTGTAGATGGTATAGACAAAGGAGTTGGATTCATCAAGTTCAATGCAGAATGAGATACAGGAGTGTTTGGCTGCACTGGTGATGCAGATATTTGTCGTGGCTGGGATGGACTTGTCAAATGTCTTGAGAATGGAGATGTAGTAGCAGATGGATGAGGATGTCCAGGTGTTCCATTATGACTTGGTTGACTCTTGATTGGCGTAGGTGTATGGGGACTCTTCACAGGAGGTAAAGTACTTCCTGTATCTGAACTACCACCTTGACTAGTAGGCGGTAAGTGAGGCTGGTGCAGAAAATCTGGCTCTTTCTTTATACTATCTATTCTTGGTCCAAGGAAAGCACTTGGCATATTTGGAGTCTCATTAGTTGGTTGACTTGGTGGCCTACTATTATTTTCTACACTTGATATTGATTCTCTATCTCTTTCTGTGCTTAAGTGCTGTGCTATGGCACTTCCAATAGGATATCCAGGTACTTTAACCTCTTTCAGGGATTGTAAAGGATCTGTACTTTGTGTAGAAAGATTTGCAGGCATATTATCTGGAATTTCTTGTTTGATTTTCAGGTCCTGTGGCATAGATGGGTCACTTTGATTGGAAGGTGGAGGTATAATATTACTTCCTGGATGACTATGTGATGGTGGAACTTGTTGTATTAATGGAGGCAGTGAACCTGGTTTATCTAAGCCAGGATGACTTGAATGCCCAAACAAAGGTGCAGGCATAAAACTATAAGGTCCTACATTAGACCCACTTCCCACTGATATTAATGGACCAGGCGGTAGCAACCCAGCCATGGATGGCTGACTCATAGGAGGTGGAGGCATGTTTTGTCCTGTCCCTGGAACATTTGATGGTTCTGTTGATCTTATTCCCATATTTTCTGGTCGCACTGGTGAAGGAAAAACTGGGGGTCGTAATCCAGTATTCTGATTATCATGCTTGGGCTGAGTCTTAAGATCAGTAGGTTGTTTATCATCAACATCTGAATCTTTGGTCTCTTGAGAATTTGCAGGTGATATGGGGTCTGTGTTGGTGGTCGAAGGATGCTCCATAGCTGGTGGTGATGAACTTCTTGTATTTGTAGGTGATGGATTTATTCTTTGTAGTGCATCTAAGCGTGGTGTATTAGGAGAGTCTACTTTACTAGCTGTGGTGATGGTTGCTGTAAATATCTCTGGAGTATTTTGGTTCTTCATTTCACTGGTTTCATCTCTAGGTTCCAACTTAATTACAGTTTTAAGTGGGTTTATATGAGGATTATGCTTGTTAGGATCTTTTGGATAATTAATACTGGAGCCATATGAAAATGATGGCATGCTGCTTGAAAAATCTTTTGCACTCCTAATTATAGAACTCTCCTTCGTAATGTTAACTGGATTAAAAATGTTGTTAGTAATTCCACCTTCAATTTTGATATTATGATTTAGCTTTGGATTGTAGATATGACTATCCTTTACAAAGAAATTAGTGTTCTCCAAATTAAGAGGCTTATTTGTTTGATTGACTGGATGTCCTGGAAAACTGTGTGCAAGAGGATCCTTCTGAAATTCTTCCTTTTGTAAATTAAGTGTAAGTTCCTCTGTATCAATTTCTTCCTTTATTTTTATTTTTTCTATTAAATCTGTAGCCATTGGAGTAACTTTTGGAATAATAAGTTCTGTTTTGGGAAATATTGCACCAGGCATTGGTAATGATCTAGGTGGTTCATTATTATCATTATTTTTAGGGGCATTTGAATCAGTTTTTAAATCTAACACATTTCTATCCTCCTTTTCAGAAGCTACTTTAAATAAGGGTGGTATTGCATCTTTTTCTGTTTTGATTATTGGTTCTAAATTATTTTCCACTTTCACTTGTGGTTCTGGTAGTTTGGCTGGTGTTTCTGGTTCAGGTTCCTTATTTTGTTCAATATTTTCTTTTTCTGTTTTATTAAAACTGAAATCACAAGCCTCAGGTTCTGGCTCAGTGCTTTCGGTCTCATCAATAGCAGGAAAACTATCATTAGTAAAGCTTTCCGATGGGCTCTCCGGAGGTTCGCTTTGCTTTTTCTTCTTCATTTGTACATCTCCATCCATAATGCCTTCTATTTTCAAATCATCTGGAAGACGCTTTTTAACCTTTGAAACATCAACTTTACCATTTGCTACTTTCTTTTTAACATCTTTACTTACAGGTGATGATATAACTTTTTCTGTAACATTATTGTTTGTGCTTTGTGCATTTGGTTTATTAGCTTTAGTTTTTGATTTTGAATCACTATCACTCTCATCTTGACCTTTCTTTCCATTGGGTGTCACTTGTTCTTTAGATTTGTTCCTAGTCCTCATTCTACTTGGAGAGTCCTCTGGATTATCACCCGTTCTCCCATTATCTACTTTAGCTAAATCTCCAGCATCACGAGAGTCGCTGTCTTCTTCTGAATTTTCATCTTCTGTTACTGAACTCATTTCTCCTCCTTCTTTTGGGTTAGGTGATGGTCTAGAACCGTTTGTGTCTGGTATAGTAGGAGTAGCTTCAGGTGTCTGTTCCTTTGGTGTGCCAGCACGTGAATTTCTAGTGTTTCGAACACGCCTAAGTGATGCTTGTCTCCGCCTTCGGTGTGGTCTATTACTACTAGCACCTGGTGTCTTTTTCCACAAATAGTAAAACTCAACGAGTTCTGAAGTGTCTTTATGTGGCAATAAGTCTTTACGAATTTTAAAAAAGTTTTTACCAAATTGACGTATACCTTTCACAAAACGCTTGATCTCCTCTTCTGACCACTTTTTCTCAATTCCTTTAGGTACAGGGCATTTAACAAGAGCTTGAAGAGCACGACCTGGGTCATAGCCTGAGTCATGGAGCACATCAAGGGCATTTATTGTAGTATCATCACGGCTAGCTGCTACACAACCATCGTCGGGAGAGCCACCGTCACACATGCCGGCAAAAGCTGCCATCGATCTTGCCGCTCTCAAGTACATTACCAAATCTCTATCAGTGGCTTGTGCAGGAAGCCACCGCAATTCTTCACCTCCAGGACACGGTTCGTCAGGACCGAGGGGACCATTCCCTCGTATGTCAGGAAGACACGCGTAAATATCCTTATCTTTCACAGGTTGACTCGGTGTACCCACTTGAACCTCTCCTTGGTTCTGGGCCATGATTTGCACGTATGGTTTATTTACACTGGGCACTATTCACTTTACACAAAGTATCCATAGTCTACATATTGGATTTATAAAACGAGTCACTACGAAGAAACTTCTCTTTATAAGTGCATTGGATTGTTTGAAGAACAGTAAGTATGCCAATATACATAATTATTACTCCTAATGGCCTCCATTACACGACGCATTGTGCTTCATTTTATGAACTTGTGTTATACGTTAGTAATATAACTTATGATCTCATTTATTTCAATTAAAGAAATATATTTGATAAATGAATATTTATGCACATTTCACTAAAAAAATAGTAAATGCTATCTACATGCAACCTTTTGTTTAGCTTCGCCTTTCTTTGGCCACCATAGACAAACCATTTCTATAAAATGGCTGCCACGAGAAAACATTTTTATTTTACGTTCCGTTTTTCCACTGACATCTCAAAACGATAATAATATCTTGAAAACCGATAGGTGCACCAGCAAGTACAAATTATATATGAGCTAGACATGACTATAGAATATCGCTTTGCATAAAATTAGTAATATAATTATTTTTTTGTATGATAAAATTGGTTCATAGTGCTAGACCATAGATATAGTGCTATACGTAGGGACACGAAAAAAGTATCGATACTTTGTGGTATCGAGTACTTTTCCTTTCGATACCGATACTTTTGTACTCGATTTTTTGTATTCGATACTTTTACTAAATGAGTACTTTTTGGCAAGTATCGATACCTTTAAAAATTTGGATAAGCGCCTTATATTGATGGCAACGCCATCTTGTTAAATCATAGCAAACCTTCTAAATACATTCCACTGCGTTGTTATAAAGTCAGTAACTGACATATTCAAATTCTTTCCAATCTGTGACTGTGTTTATTTTGCGCTTTGTTTTTTTTTTATATAAAGAGGTAGGCAAATGACTCTACCCCACCTGATGTTAAGTGGTAATAAAGCCCATACGCGAAGATAGTTAGTTAAAGTTTTGTTTCATAGTTATTTATTTAGCGACCATATTGTTAGGAACTGTGATTGATTCCCCGTTTATTGTGCTTTTCGCTTGACTGTATTTGATTTATTCAAGTGTAACACTATTATTCTGTCTGTGCTGTGTTACCTATACCTATTTGAAACCACGGACCTGAAAAACGGACGGACGTAACCTCTTCTATAATTATAATCTTGAGTGAAGCATGCCAATGGCCGCCGTTAACTGTGTGTCAGATTCAAGTTAACATAAGTGGGTATAATGTTTTTCAATGATTAAAATTCAAGAAAAGTAAGTTTAATTAGAAACAAATCTGAAAAGTTTCATACTTTTAAATTGTTTAACATTTCGATCTTTTTAATTAACATTTTAATTATGAATGTAATATTAATGAACACTTTTTTAGTGTCAGAAATCACAGCTATTTTCTTTTCATTATATAATATAGCAATTTGTGAATTTACATGTCCTTTTTTTGTTTTTGATTATACGTACTATAATAAAATTTGATTGTTTTTCTTTAAAGTTTAACCCGGGGGGGGGGGGGGGGGGGTTGCTCATCATGCCACAGAGGATCTGATAAGGCCCTATAAAATGTACTCGATACTTTGAAGTATCGATACTTTTGTTTCGATACTTTTACGAGTACGATACTTTTTTACCGATACTACTCATGAGTACAGTATCGATACTTTCTATTTGATATCGTGTCCCTAGCTATACGCCTATGGTTTTTTTAATGCCTCCTCTACACGTTGACAGATGCATCTGCAAATGCCATCTTAGAATCTCAATCTTCTAGTTTGACTTGTAGACGAGAAGTAGAAGGAAGTTTGCGCGTCTGTAGTAATTATATAACGTCCGCACATCAACACATAAAGGTTAATGTACAGAGCAGAACTATCGCCTGACACCTAATACAGATAAAAAAAAACACTAACGGACGGTCGTTCTTTACGGATACAGAAAGAAATCCTGGAAGCCCACCAGCGCTTATCAGCGCTGGTCCTTACTGGTAACAGTTACATAAAGGAAGCAGATAGAAATGCCTGTGCCGGTTACCTGCGCGAACCGGTTCCTATAAGCGCTGGTAGTTCTATAAACGGCCTTAGGGTACGGCCACAGTGCACGCAGGTTCAGACTCAGAAAACAGGCTCGTGAGATGTCAGCTTAAGGAAAGCAGGTGATGGCCGCAGTGAAGGCAGATAATACAAGACCAGGACGCGAGACACGCGATCGTAACAATTATAAGTTATTTTTTTTTAAAACTCAATCATTTCATGGTATGATTGGGTATCTAAAAAAGATCTGTAGGTATGTGTTGCTTGTTATTTAATTTATGTTTATATTTTATGCTATACTTTCTGTAATAATTATTACGACGCAATACGCGTTTAATAATATAATATAATAAATTATATTCAAAAAGAGAGTACAAGAAAAAAATACTTCTTTACCTTCAACACTCATTTCTCCAGCGATGTTTTGCCAGCACCTATCAACGCCATTCCTATTTTAATCGTTCTTGTCTCTTTTAATCCATACAGCAGGGTTAAGAAAAACTTTCGCGAGAAGCGCTTCTATTATATATTCATTATGTTAAATCTACAATATAAATCAAGTAACAAGAGCGCAAACAAGAAGCAAGGCACTAAATGTTTGTTTATAATACAACCAAGAAAGAGGTTACTTTAAACAACTATAACCTGCAGTCCGAGCGGCGCTGCTGAATTCAGTATCTGAAACTAGAATGACCTAAACATTCCGGTAAAGTTTCTGACTCCGAACCCTGCGTGGGCAACCGTTGCCTGCTGCCACCAAAGAGAAAAGGTATATATAGGGCTGCCACTATGGCCACCCTGCTTAAACTACACTGTTTATTTCTCGCGCTTGTTTTCTGAGTCTGAACCTAATTCTGAATCAGCGTGCACTGTGGCCGTACCCTTAGGTTGATTCCCATCTGTCATAAAATTATTTTGATTTTTGTAGACTTTGGACTTGTGGAAATTACTTAGCCATTTAAAGTAAAATGATTTAAATTAAAATGAAAACGCATTTATGATACAAATTTAATTTTATAATATAAAAGTGAAGTTCAATCTTTCATTATGTATAATCCTGCAGTAACAGTAAGACGAATCGATGTTTTAATTCGTATTCTAGGCAATAAAAAGTATTTATTAAGTGCTAATTATGTGAGAGCTTACTCCAGCAATGAAAAAATTACTATAGGAGATGTAACCAAAGAAATACAGATACCCAAAAAGATTGAATATGTCCCAAGGAACTATTGTGAGTAACTTGCACCGAAACAATCTAATTATTATTTTATTTCCTATAGTACTTTGATATCAATTTGTGGTATTAAGGGAGTAATATTATTTTAACTGTATAGTTTCATCCTTTGATAAACATACTTAAATGTCACTAGCTAAACGGTTGAGGAAGCTAATGACATGCAAAGCTCCATCTCCTACATCATTTAAAATTATATTTATTCTATTAGCCTCTTAAATAAGAATGCATTAATTTCTTCTGATTTTCAAAAGGATGTTAGGTACATTAATATGTACATTCTCTGAACTTCATATCAAAGGACATGTTATTTTTTGGGCTAAAAATAAATTTATTTTATATGCAGTATAGCCTGGACTACTCTTAGGGCATGTACTCCCTAATGCTAGACAGAGCACAGAGTGGACATCCGTCCGACTTGCTTGAGGCAGGTCTACGGTTGCAGTATTTTTAATGAAATGACATGAAACTGCATGCTGAACAGAAGTCTGCTTTGTGCTCTTATGCTCGTTACCCTTTTCCCCTTAGTACCCTTAGATTTTAAAGCAGCATGCCAGGATTTATTCTATTCTTTATATTATAGATTTATATTTAATTTATAGTTTATATTATTGAATATAAGGTAATTGTTTTAGTAAAAATTGAGAATTCTGAAATAAAATTACTCTCACAAAGTACCTTACGAAACCTGAGATGGATGATGCAAAAAGACTCTTTGGGTCAAGACATGTTCCTTTTAGGAAGACCAGGACCTAGCAGGTACTTAATGTTTAATTTTTTTCAGTGTATGTTATTGTTTGTGGTATTTATAAATGTGGTGCCGTGGGCTACTTACAATATGCCACCCCACCACCTTAAGTCTCATCATCAGGCATAAATGCCACTCTTTTAAAATAAATAAATTACCTTTTACATTCCATACATAAAAAAAATGTATTTCAACATGCAACTAAATACCAATAAGTATTATTTAATGCTGATTTTACTGACTGTAATTTTATGTACATAAATTTTTGAATAAGTAATTTTTAATTCATGCAGGAGAAAAATAGCACTCCAATACTTAGAGCTCACAAAAAGAGAGCTGGAATATGTAGCTCTGTCTCGAGATACCACTGAAGCGGACCTCAAACAAAGGCGTGAGATTGAGAATTCAACTGCCAAATACTTTGATCAGGTAATCTCTTGTGCATACTATGGTGTTGCTTCTGTCATGATTCTCTAAACTTAAAACTAAATTTAACATCGGTCCCTCCTTTTCATTCTTTATAGAGAATGACAATTAGTCACTGTTGTCAAATTAAATTTGAGGTTTAGAGAATCATGCCAGTATTGACACCAATGTATGAATACTTGAACATCAAATACATGCCCCCTTATAAATAAATGAATACTAAGCTAGGATTAGTTACTCTATGTTTTGTCTCTGTTTATTAAATTAAAAATGGCAATTGAGTAGTATGTTAAAACACCGTGTAAGTATTCTAAGGCATCTCATCGTAATTGGGAAATATTGTACGATGACACAATGCATTTTTGTCGTGAAATAATTTTCAAACTTCATCAGAAGTGTCCTATATACCTTGTAAGCCGGCGCACAAACACAGGTTCAATATTTTTATTGCATGATGAGATTGTATCCAGTCATTGTACTATCATTGTCTGTTAGGAAAGGGCACCTCACCCTTTTCCTCGTTTTTTAAAAAGGGGATGGTCCATGGGACTGAAAAATAGTCTTTTTGTAAATGAATTGCTATTGCTTAGATTTTATTTTGTTGTTCATGTGAAATGGACACACAGGACACCATAAATAATGCATGATAGAAAGATTGCTTGAAAGGTGGCTTTATTGCTAAATAGCAAACAAGCAATTCCAGTTAAATAAATAGAATAAACAAAACTGGATTGAATAGTACAGTACAGTATATGTATTCTATCTGTTACCGTAGCATCCCATAACACAAGCCTTATAGTGCTTACTTTGGGGTTAGGCTAATTGGTGTGAGTGTTGGAAATATTTATTTATTTATTATTTATGGGTGATTCTCAGTTAAGAGGTAATCAGTTGTATGGAAGCAGCGGCACAGCAAAAAGTGTCGATATTTATATAACTATACCACTACTTTTATCAAGACAGGTGATTTTAATATGATTTTAAGATGATTAGTCATTTTTTATATTTATTCTCGTTTTACGAGACACCAGGGGAGATACTGAGTACAGGGTAGAGACAAAATGAACTTTATTGCAATGCGCTTAATCCGCATATTAGGATGTAAAGTACTTATCCGTGCAATCAGATTTTAGTGGAATAACGATATAAAGAGCTAAACAATTATTTCAAATTATATGCAATTGTACATTCTCTAATAAATTATCATTACTGTTATTGAGCTATTGCATCGTTTTTATAGTTTTGTTAGTAGCCTGGCATCAAAACAGCCAGGGGAAATATGGCAGGGGAGAGACATTTTCGTTAAAAATCTAAAATTGGCGTAAAACTACTAATTTTACAAAGATTACAAATAAATAAAAGGTTTGCAGCACTATTTAAAATAAATGTATATAGATATTGTAGTATTTAAACACATAAATACGAAAAAAAATATACCATTATAATTTTTATTATTTTTAAAGCATGTAACTGCTTGATGTTTAAATCTAAAGAAAATATAACTAGAAAAAAACTAGAAAAAAATCCACGCGGACCAGGCAGCAGACGGGACTCGAACCCGCACCCTTCACAATCCGGGCGAATGCACTGACCAATTATGCTACCGCGGCCCTCACGGACCGCGTCGAAATTCTTTCTAGCTATTCTTAAGCTGCAAGGCAGCGCCATCTCTTCGCATTATAGGTAAACCCACAATGTCAAATGAATACTTTTACAAGTATTAAACATTTGAAAGAAGAAATAGCAATTATAGTTATAATTTTTATTATTTTTAAAGCATGTAACTGAAGAGTGCGGGTTCGAGTCCCGTCTGCTGCCTGGTCCGCGTGGATTTTTTTCTAGTTATATTTTCTTTAGATTTAAAAATATACCACTTCGATCACTCAACACGGCTGCACTCATCGAGCACCGTTGCGCAAATGGCCAAAAAAATTGCCGCGCGGATGGCTTGTGAAACGCTTGCTGCTAACTTCACGTTACACTCGGTGTCTTCAAGGTCAAAACTACCACAGACTATGGTAAACAAATACGATTTTCAAACTAAACCTAAGGCCAGGGGGCGTGACACGAAACTCGGAGGACACAGTTTGCGATTAATATTTTTTATAAAAAGTGCAAATATAAATGAATTTAATGGTTACATACTGTAACTAAGCTATCAGGGTTCATGTTATTACCGATAGAAAAGTAATAATTAAATTTCAATGGACTCAAAATTACTGATTTACAAAAAAATATGGTTAGGGGACAACCCAGGGGAGAGATGTTTTTCCTCTTTGTGCTGTTATTGTAAGTAAATTATGCACATTTAGAATATAATTTTAAGTGATAATTGAGAACACATTTAGTTAATTGAAATTATTAAGATTTTAGACCATAATTTCCAAATATAATGATTTTTTTGGCTTAGCCGTCGAACATACCTCTTAACTGAGAATCACCCTTATAATTATGGTTATTTCTTGGCATTCTTATCTTTTACTGGTGATCCAGTCACATTGAAATCTAAGACTTTTGCTATAAAGGGGAACATGGAAAGAGTCAAAGAGAACTATCAATCAGGTTAAAGGCTTACTTTTTTATCGTAGTTCAAATTCCATTGTGCATGGTTAAGTCGCTTTTGAAAAAAAACCCCTGGGGGCCTACCGTCTATAGGGATTGCTGGGCTATTGCTAGCGAGCTTGTTTGCTTATGATTTTATTTTGTTATTTCTGACAGCCGCAGGGTTTTCAAATGCCTCGCGCTCTTTTTGCATAGGTAATAACAATATTAAAGAAAATGAGCGTGAGGTATTTGAAAACCTTCGGTGGTTAGAAATAAAAAAAATAAATCATAAGCTATACCAATAGCCAATGCGATCCCGATAGGCGTCAGGCCCTCAGGTGCTTATTCCAAGGGCGAGTTCTTTTCACAACTTATACGTGCATACATTTTCACAATTTATTCCTAAATTTGGTTTTAGAGCGCCGTTCGCGCCGCCGTCGAAGGACGAGTCTTGGTCATAGAAGGCATAGAGAAGGCAGAGAGAAATGTTTTGCCAGTGCTTAATAACTTGCTGGAGAATCGTGAAATGCATTTAGAAGACGGTCGATTCCTCGTGCCTGCTGCTAGATATGATAAATTGCTGCAGGTAAATAAATAAATCATTCAATCCTTTCTTTAATTAAAAAAAACATTGATTGCTGGTTGTTGATTTTTTCAACAATCAGCAATCCGTCACTTTTTTTTTGCAAGTGGATTGTAACTGCATATCAAACTATACTGGATGGAATTCATCATCATCAGCATATTAATGTCCCCATTGCTGGGGCACAGGCCTTCCCTATGGGTGGAATAGGGAGATTGGGCCATGACCCACCATGCGGGCCCAATGCGGGTTGGTGGGTGCGAACGACTGCAGATGCAGCCGGGACCAACTGCTTAACGTGCCTTCCGAAGCACGGAGGAGCTCGAGATAGTAAATTTTCGGTCACCCATCCAATGACCGACCACTGCGAAAGTTGCTTAAATTCAACGATCGCAGCGGAACGCGCTAAACACTTGCGCCATCGAGCTCCTCATGGTGGATGGAATTAGTGGTTGAGAATGTGACACTCACATTTCCAATTCTGGAAGATAATATTACGAAGAGTTCTACTATCTGGAATGTAATTAATGTAATGAAAGCAATGGGCGCATTGTAAACATCTACCATTAAATAAGTAAAGACGAGCCATCACCAAATTAAAGGTTCTTCCATCCGCAGGAGCATGGTGTCGAAGAGGTGTCGAAATGGCGGCTAGTTCGCGTCGATGAGAACTTCAGAGTGATAGCCCTAGGGCTCCCCGTGCCTCGCTACACTGGGCAGCCGCTCGATCCACCGCTGCGTTCCAGGTTCCAGGCTAGAGATGTCGCCACTATCGGATTTGGGGTGAGTAGGTATTAATAGCGGTTAGTGCGCGTCGATGAGAACTTCAGAGCTATAGCATTAGGGCTCCCTGTGCCTCGCTACACTGGGCAGCCGCTCGATCCACCGCTGCGTTCCAGGTTCCAGGCCAGAGATGTCGCCACAATCGGGTTTGGGGTGAGTAGGTATTAATAGCGGTTAGTGCGCGTCGATGAGAACTTCAGAGCTATAGCATTAGGGCTCCCTGTGCCTCGCTACACTGGGCAGCCGCTCGATCCACCGCTGCGTTCCAGGTTCCAGGCCAGAGATGTCGCCACAATCGGGTTTGGGGTGAGTAGGTATTAATAGCGGTTAGTGCGCGTCGATGAGAACTTCAGAGTTATAGCATTAGGGCTTCTCGTGTCTTGCTACACTGGACAGTCACCCGATCCAGGTTCCAGGCCAGATATGCCGCGACCTTCGGGTTTGGGGTCATTATTAATGGCGGTTAGTTCGCGTCGATGAGAACTTCAGAGTGATAGCATTAGGGCTCCCCGTACCTCGCTACACTGGACAGTCGCTCGATTCAGATACCAGGCCAGAGATGTCGCCACCATAGGGTTTGGGGTAAGTATTATAATTTTTTAATATAATTTTTATATAAGTACTTTAATTTAGTACAGTACGACAAAGAGCTTGTGGCACTTAGATAACAATGACAGGAGGGCTCTGCTGGTGAATAGCTGGTGAAATGAGTAATACTATACTCTAATCAACCTCCTCTAAGACAAAAGGTAAACAAATCAACCAATGTTTTTATTAAAACTTTTTCAAGAGGGACGGCCGGTGTAACCTGGCTGATTATAAAATTGCACAACAAAAGCATACAATTTTTCAACATAAAGTATTTGCTTTATCACTGATCTTCAATTTAGTAGTACAATAAAGCGGTCAAAATTTGGGAATAGCTTTAGTTTCAGGTCTTTATACTGTAACTTTTTTTTTAATTATCTATTTATATGTTTATAACATTCGACTTATTGAAAAACCTGTTTTATGGTTTTTTTACCTTTTATCTCAGAGGAAGTTGAATAGAGTATTAGTATGTTATAATTGACAGAAAGGTTTATTTACACCTTCCTCTATTTTTTTGGTTCCGATCTCACCGTTAATGAAATGGAAAAGACACAGATGACAAAATGCGCCATACAGCCTAGATCAAAAGTAGTTTTGTTTAAGTCTGGGTATTTAAATCCAGATTTAAATGTCTTCTACAGTACTCTTGATATAATTGTATAGAGCTACATAATATTGCGGATTTTAAGAAGTGCAGGTAAGGAACGCGGGATGTTCTCGACTGAATCATAAATTTTAAGTCTATTATTACTGAGTATTATTCGCTGAAGGGCAAAATGAGGGCATTCGAAGAACAAATGATGAAGTGATTGGTTCGAAAAGCTGCAGAACGACCATGATGGGGAGGAGACCATGTTCAACCTTCCTCTATAAGTAAAAGGCTCGTTTATACCTTTCAAAAATTTGTTCCGATTTCTTCCACTTGGCACAATGTATTGGTCGTACTGTATGTTAGATTTTTACACACCATGTTATTGTGATTAACAACGTGTTAACCATTACCACTTTAAAAGTATAACTAGCTGCCGCCCGCGACTTCGTACGCGTGGAGTTGTTGAAGAAATAAAGGTTCACTGCTCGTTCCCTGAGATGATAGCGTGATAATATGTAGCCTATATGTTGACCCGACTTCTTAATAATATTCGTGCCAAATTTGAAGTAAATCCATGCAGTACTTTTCAGTTTATCCCGGACGTACATATAGACAATCAGATAAAAATTCTAAATAAAACTATATATTTGGCTTCGGTATCAATTGAAGATTACACCCCAAGTATTCTTTAAAAAAATATTCAATGTACAGTTTTGACTTTCCTACCACTTTATTATATGTAAAGATTATGGTTTTTAGCACTAATATTTGAGTGACTTTTCAAATAAATAATTTAATATAAGTAAATAATAAGAGTTATGCCAGGGGTTTATGAATAAAATTATGACATTTAAAAGTACATTTTCTGAAAATTACCAATAAAATAATGACAAAACGAAAAGTACGACATATTCTTGCTTTATCCATGTTTTCTTTTGATCAATTTTCATCGGTGTTTTTGTATTCAAATTTGAGTGTCGACTAATCTTGAAGCTTCTTCTTTTCCTAAACTTTTGTTTACAAGGAGGCTTGAGACTTACTTACAATTGAGTGACCACCTAAATAAACATTAGGGTACAATATTTATTATAAGGTTAATATCTTTATGTAACATTGAAATGTCCTTGAAAAACATGGAAAATATATTGGATTTGTTTTGCACACACATATATTAGACCCCCAGTCCCTTCCAAAGGGACTGGGGGTCTAATATAGCGAGTTTGCATGTTCAATATAGCAACTGTTCATATTTTTTCATTTTTCAATACTACAATTATAAATGACAGGATATTTAATGAAATGATGAGTTTAATTTAAAATGATATATACATATCCATATCCATCTCCACATGTGGAGTGGTTATTAATAAAAAAAGTGTCATCCTTTTGTTCCGTAAACTTAAATAACAGCGTAATAATAAAAATAACAATAATAACACAGCCTGACACTGGATTTTAAAAACGTCGAAAGCATATTAAAATATAGGCTTATGTTTTTTATTTGTTGTTGATGTAGCGATAACAGATGTGAAAGTTTCAACTACTTTTTACGGTTTATCAGATATTCTTCCTGATAAACGGACAGACTTTTATAATATTTATATATTCTTAGTTTTATTTTATAGTAGCTATACTTGAACTATTCTTTAAATGTAAAGAATAAGTTTATGTAATGTACTTCGTAGCTTCGTGGGTAATGAAACTGAACAGGACTGGTTCGAGCGTATCGCGTGCGAAGCCAATTCCAAACCCATTGATTCAATGCAAAGCTAACTAGTAGGTACTATAGTACAAACTTGTCAATGAATTTATTTTTATTTTACAAAATGCTATACAATATTAAAAGCTTACTTTAAGAATTCTGCGACACAAAACTTTCGGTTCTACTTGTCGTGTTCGAGCTCAATTTCTTGGGCATTTCCGGCATAAATATGTGAACTTGTTTTTTAGAACCCACGTGCAAGTTAGGAATTATCTTTTTGTTCACTAAATCGGCGTACTGTTTTTGTACTTCATTTCGTTCGGAGACGATTTTTTGTCGCGCTTCTGCCACACTCAACTTTGCTTCTTTAGCTTTTGTTTTGGGGTTGTCTTTTGTTTTTGTAGTGTCCCGTGGCGTGCACCTTGGGTTCCGTGACTGTCTCGCGTAGTGCTCGATCGTATTCGCCGACGTCGGCATATAAAAATCATGCCGATCGATAGTCCCACTTTGTTGTGATATCCCGCTGTCGCAAACCTTCGGTGAAAACGGTTTAATTGTTTCTTTCACTCGTACATCTATTGAAGTTTTTGACTTGGTCAAGTTGTGGTTCCGCCTTTGGATCTCGGGCCAGCTGTGGCGCGGTTGAGACATGCGTTCTGCGTTACCTGGCGCCAGCAAGTCAACTTTTCCGGCTAAATCAAGCCATTGTAATACTCTATCTGACAACTCTGTATTCTCTTTGACTTCAAGTCGGGATGTACGGTTTACTCTCAAATGTTTCATGTTGAAGCTGTTCAAATTAGACCTCGCAGTCTCGAACTCGTTCAAAGGCTGCGGAGTCGCTTGCAAGAGAAATCCGTCCTCCGAGTCGTTGTCCACATCGGCCAAGTTCAGCTTTTCGATGCGAAACTCCTTGGAGCTTATAGGGCGTCGTCGATTCGGAACACTGAAATCCTTCTTCACCACTAAGTTGAATTTCCTGAGGCAGTCTTCGAGGCTGTCGGTGTTGCTTAGCCGGGAGCTCCGGGGGTTGGTGATGAGGCTGGCGGAAGAGTGGGGCCGTCTCTTCTTGGCGGTTAGTTTAAGGTAGTGAGGGTCGTCTTGTGTGAGTATGGCGTGCCGGAAGCCGTCGACCCACACGGTCCGCACGTACATGGGCCGCTGCGAGGCTTGCCAGAGTGCGGGCATGTTACACCGCCACGGCTAGTTCCCGTGTATATTCGGTCACGCGACCGCCGATGCGTGAGTCGGCCGGCTTTGTCTTCATAATTGATTCGTGCTGTACGTGACGTGCCCCTGGATTGCGGCTTCTGAAAGTTACAAGAAGCTCTTTGATTCTATTGTGTTTTTGATTTCCCGAGTTGGACATCCTTTATACTTTATCACCAAAATATCTTATTTAGATAGATTAAGTTTCGATGCTGACATTTTTTTGTTATAGCAATAGAAAAAGGTAACACTTTATATTGACTGCAAAGGACATTGTTCAGCGTCCATACATAGTTAGCCTAAGAACCAAGAATCATGAAATATTATTTTCTAGGTTCGAAATCGTAAGTAAATGACTGTAAAAACAAAGATTATTGACGGACACTTCTGACGGAAACTTCAATTATTAGGAAAACTAATTTTTTTTGAGGTTATGTTTAATATTCAATGAAACATAGGTCAACCTATGAACTTACCTATGAAGTGAATTAATATTACAACTAATTCATTTTATTCGGTGCGATTTTAAAGAATAACTATTAGGAAAAACTTGGTTAGGTAGGAATCATGAATAAAATAAAAACTGTAGTTTTGCTTCTTATTTATTTTTCACATAATTATATCATATTGTTTATTATATTTATTTGTATATCACATGTATATTGTGTAAATATGCAGCGTGAATGTATATCAGGTGTTCTTGAATAATTTGGCAGTATGATTCTCTCAGGATGTTGTGGCACAGGTTCACTAGCACTTGGTAATAAGGGCTCTGCTCTTTGGTAACATCGATGGCATATTAGATAGCCGAAATAGTTAAATTAAAGGAAAAACAATCGCAAATAAACACACACAACAGGTAATCCGAAACGAGAATGCACTTTCCGGTATAATTTATAACTCCTT